ATATGTATAGCCAACTTTATCACATGCCCGACATCATAGCCACAACCACATCCTCGCCCCTATCCTTGACCAATAGCAATATCAACTTTTATCAGAACAAGACCATCTCCCATATCAAGTGGAGCTGAAGGATGTGCAATAAAAAGTGGAAAACACAATATCTCATAACATTGTGCTAGTCAAAGAGTATTATCAAGGGTGGCTAGAGTAAGTGCATGCACAAATCCTATAAGATTTTGATGAAGTGCTAGCTATAACATTCCCAACTTGATCCATTCTAATATATTTGGCTCCGCACGATCAAAAGTAAATGCTAAATTACATCATTAACTTAGATGGCCCTTGATAAAGACAATGCAATTGTTAAAAGGCATAATCATAATCATCAACATGTCCAAATACCCACTTGAAAACATGTTTTAATCTAGTATCATCCCAAGAATGATAGGTATCAATCACTATAAAGTGATTAAACTAATTGTACATATTATCCCTAGAATTCCCATGGAAAAATTTTGGCCAAACGCGAGGATTGGTAGCAAGAGGAGTTGTACCATACACTATGAATATCACCATCAATTAAATTTAATTATTCAATTGCAACTATATAGCATCAAGCAACTATACCAATTGTTGCTCCAAAATCAAAGGAGGAGGAAGTTGATGCTTTACCATGAAGATGAAAAAAAAAGGAGAAAAAGAAAAGGAGAAGAAATTATAAAAATTATTAAAAAAATGAAATTTAGAGTTTTGTTTAGATCTAGCTAGAAAAGTTAGATTTAAACAAAAATCATAAATCCAATCATTTGTTAAGGATAATTATGGTTGCCCTTCATCTCCACCAATGTGAGTGCATGGAATATGGAAAGTGAATATACAAATATGCATATCAATTAGCCCAAAAACCTTAATTTATATATAGAAATGCATAGTTTATATTAAAACCAATCTGACGGTTATCAAAATCCCACTACACTAATATTAGTATACAACATTGTACCCATACACTTGGACCTCACAAATATAATGCTTCTTATTAATTAAACTCTAAAACCAATTATACAAATAATTCTTAAGTAGTTAGACATAATTTATGATTATTTGATTGTGAATCCCAAGTAGGAATATTTGGATATTTTAGAGAATATATTACTAAGTTACAATCATCTTGAACTTTCAGTATAGAGGCATAATAACAATTAGGAAATTTTAAACAGTACTTATTGATTATTAACCATTCTACCTTCTTGTCAGATTGTAAAATTAAATTTCCATTATTTTCCATCCTAAGGCTACAAAATAATACCCTATTTCTTCCTGACTTAGAATCCCAGATTTGATTTATTCCTGAGAATAAAACTAAGTTGCAATCACTTTGTAAATATAATATATTTTTCTTGTTCGGAGAAATTAAAACATGTGTAGAAAATAGGATATTAAAAGGTTTTCCACTCATTAAACTGCTGAAAAATAAATTACATGTTGATAATGACTTTATATTATAAGTTTTTTCGTAAAATTCAGGTTCAGATAGACCATCTAAGCTATAAGAAATCATATATGACTTTGCTCTTAAAATAGCCCACTCTGCAGCTGTTTCTATTATCACACTTTTACTATCCTTTATAATATTACGAAAGCTATTATAAACAGCTGTTGGTTTTGCTGTAGTATATGCACCACATGTTCTTATTATTTTGATAACAGCCATTCCTCTTGAAAGAGGAATGTAATCTATATTAAACCAGTCTGATGGGTAATCTATATTAGTGCGTGCAACTAGTTTTATTAAATTTGAAAAACCTTCTATAATCAAATTCATATCATCAACCTTTATTTCATTATTTTTTCCAAATTTAGTTTCAATAAAACTATAACTCAAATTTGAAAGGTTAAATAGTAAAATCATTAGTACAATCATATAATATAGAGGCATACTAAACAGGAATGTATGTCTAAGTGTTTATTATTAATTTATATACTTATATGCATTCTTTAGAAGAGCGATGAATGCCAAAATAAGAGTAAGAAATAGTACATTAACTATGTTTTATTGCCAAGTGGTACTTGTATTGGATTGGTGTCAGAGTAGTCATTGGATTATCTATTTAACAACACTTGGTTTGCTTGTGTTTATTTTTATTATTTATATCTATTATAATTTTTTAATCAATTTTCTTTTGGTAAACCAGTTGGCTAGACCTCACAGAATATCAGTCACCTACAATAGAGATAGCTTTGTTTCCTAGTCACAAACACTCTTAGCTGGATTATGTAAAACATAAATCCCTAAGTTCCAAAATGAAGCCAAAGTGTGCCACATGGCAATGGCTGAAGTGGAAGTTTAATATTTGGATCAAAACCTCTTAACTCTAAAACTTTAAAGTGGGAGTGGAACTTGTAAAGATGTGCTTGAGAAACCAGTACAAAATGATTAATGAATGATTATTTTAAAAGGGATAAAAGAAGGATTAACACATGGCAAATGTTGTGACACTTGAAAGTGTCAAGATTGATTTTAAGACTAGGTTCAAGATCGAGCCTAAAACTAAGTCTAAAATTAAGTCTGAAACTAAGTTCGAAATAGAGTCTAAAACTAGGTCCAAAATCAAGTCCAAGTCTAAAACCAAGACTGTCTGATAATTGAAAGCCAAAAATGATTATATCCCAAATGTTAAAGGGTTTAATAAGTCCTTACATAATAATAAGGGGAGGATTTTTAAGAAACCATTATAGCTAGGGAAGGTTAGTGTGATCAAGGAAGGTTATGCCTACATAATGGGTGATAATAGAAACATTAAGGAGTCCAAGGCTAAAGTAAACATAAATGGATAAATAAAACAATTTAGTGAAGTGTTCAAAAGTCAACTATAACCTTTCTAAGAGATCAAATATTTAATGCTCTAAATCCAAGTGAGGGTGGTACTATTTACTTGGATAGCTTATATGGCTCATTAGGACCTCATTCTAGCCATATAGCTAAGGCACTTTAGTGGCAAAAAGTGAAGAAAGTACCCATAAAGTTCACATTGGGCAATAATATTTAGAAATAACATCATAAAGTACTTAATAATGGAAAAGTAAAAGAGTGACCCTCTTGCTTAATAACCATAGATATGGTTATGTGGTGAAAAAGTCTCAGAGGTTAGTGGGATTTAATAAATGAGCTTTTAAATTTTGACCCAATGGCAATGTTAATAAGCACTACTATAGACAAAAAAGGATTTAATGAGGATTGAAGAATGGATATTAGGGAATGCTATTCTTCATATCTCAAGACATTTTAAAGATGCTAAAGTGTGGTAATAAAAAGACCACTTCTGGATGGATGGTCCAATCTTTGAAATGTAAAACCGTAGTACAAATGTTTTTAGATTACTTAGGAGACAATAAGGATAGATATTGCTTTAGCATAAGACATTGATATTTTGATAATATTTTTGGGTGTCTAAAGGGGGATTGGACATTAAAACACTTGGACTAAGTGTTTTGTCAGCATATGAGATGACTTTTAGGGGCTAATAAATTCCTCAAGTTGAATAAAGATTGTGAGTGAGATTCCTTTGAGTGATCAAAAGCATGGTTAAATAATTAAAGTAGAATAGAAAATTTATCCCCTTATAAATTATAGTATTGAATCTAATTCTTGAGTGTTTGACATGGTGAATTAAGGTTCTAAATAAGTAGAGATATTAGATAGATTGAAAGCATACCATGAGTATTTATAGAAAAACATTTAATTTTTTCTTGATGAATTATATATTTTATCTTCATGTTAATGTTAAAATAGCATCAAGACTCTATTTAACTCCATTTTATATATTACTATATATAGATTATTTATTACAGATTTATTCACACATTACACTATACTACTTTAAAGTTAAACTCTGTCTTGTTATTTAGTAACCCAAAGATTTTAAACTTAATTCCACTCCATTGCCCTTAACATACATGTCTAAAGGTTTCACTTTAATGGTATTCTAAAGTCAAAACCAGATATGTTACAAAAACACAGCTTTGCCACTTAAATATTCTATATGATCTGTGTCTAATTGCATTGATGAACTTAGAGCTTGTTATTAACAGCTGTCTAGGCACAAGTGGATATAAACCACTTTGTATTGTGCTGCGTGAGGACACTTTTGAGCTTGCAAGCTTGTAGAAGGCATTTAAATCTCAATGACAGTAAACATCTAATATGTGCTTGAGCACACTTCTCAACAAGTGTCAGGAGAATGTCATTAGATATAGCTAAAACTATTGATAAAATATGAAAAGTTAGTCAAAACCTCAAACTAATATCCAAGAACTTATAAGTCCATGCTAATTTTGGATGCGATGTACTAAGCAACAGCATCCCATCATGAACAATAACTTCGAAAATATATTACAGAAAAATGAAAGCTGATTGTACTTTTGCAGATTATCCAGCTGGTGTTCAGCATTTTAGCCACACTGTTTTATACACATGGTGTCGAATGGTTTACTGATTAACTCACCTAATTTCGTCAAGAGATCTGCTGCTCCCCCAGAAGAGATTCACCACCTGCCAAATATTGTTCCAACATCTCGCCTTGTCCGTCAGGAACACTTCACCATAGAAAGGCTGGAGCTCCCTGTGATTTCAATCCAACCACAATGTGTGTTCAACGTGTCATCCCTGTCATCGCAATGATCAGAGTCGCGATGCATTGCAATAACCTAGCCTTCATGCAATTTTTGTATCGGAACATCCAATTGTTGTTGAGTGTGAGTGTTTTGCTTGTCAAGAAGACACTGGTGAATCCTCTCTCATATATGTTGAGTCGTTCAGTGCTTCAGGGGCAATATGCACATTGGATTTTATGTCGTTGGAGAGAATGCCTTTAGAGAAGACTGCATGTTGAATTCCAGATTAGCTTCTGAGTCAAGAAGGGAATCTTTCCGAAATGGAAACCAATGTGTAACCAAAATGGAATATGCCAGCTTTTCTAAACCCAGTACCATGAGCCCTAAATTCTATCAATGGCGATGTCCCTGGTGGGAGGGACTAGCAGCAGGATCTTCGTGTGTGGCGGCTGCGGGAGCTATCGGCCATCGCGATCCCGGCGGCTGCGCGTCACAGCCGCGGCTGGCGGAGATGCAGCGGTGAGAGTAAGATTTGCTCCATCGCCGACGGGAAATCTTCACGTCGGGGGTGCAAGAACTGCGCTATTTAACTATCTCTTTACCAAGTAAGTGCTACATTCTTCTCCACATTCGCCTATAGCTTCGTCCGATGGCCCAGGAATCATGGCGGCAAGTTTATACTCCGGATCGAAGACACCGACATTGAGAGATCGACAAAGGAATCCGAAAATGCGATGCTTCAGGATCTTGAGTGGCTTGGCTTGGATTGGGATGAAGGTTTGATGCTTTCTCTTTTCTTTCCTTTTCTTTCTTGCATGGCAACGTAAGGAAAAACTGGAGGAATGTTTGCGTTCTTCCAGGTCCTGGAAAACCCGGAGAGGTTGGTCCATATCGTCAATCGGAGCGTAATTCCATATACCAGAATTATGCACAGAAGCTCTTGGAATCCGGCCATGTTTATAAGTGTTTTTGCTCCGATGAGGTGATTTTGGATTTTGATTTTGCTTTTGTTCCTTGTTTCCAACTCATTGGTTTGGTTTAGGAACTGGCTAGGATGAAAGAATTAGCCGAACTAAAGAAGCTTCCTCCACGATACACTGGGAAGTGGGCAACCGCAAGTAAGCAAGAAGTGGACGCGGAAATTGCAAGAGGGACACCATACACTTACCGCTTCAGAGTTCCTCGGACTGGATCGGTGACAATCAATGACCTCATTCGTGGTGTGGTATGTGAAATCATTAACTTTCTCTGTGGCATGAGCTCTGGTTTATTGAAGGTTACATGGAAGCATGACGTCCTTGGTGATTTTGTGATCCTTAGAAGCAATGGCCAACCGGTGTACAATTTCTGCGTCGCCATAGATGATGCGTGCATGAAAATAACTCACGTGATAAGGTCCGCCTCGGACTTTTCTCGTCCGTCCTCCAAATCCTTCGTACTGATTTTCGTGTCAGGGCCGAGGAACACCTCTCCAACACGCTCCGGCAAGTTCTTATCTACAAGGTGGCCAGTTGTTTTACATTCTGCTCATTGTTTTCTGTGATATTTCTCCAGGCACTAAATCTTCCCGTGCCGAGATTCGGTCATGTATCGTTGATTCTGGCACCTGATCGAACAAAGTTGTCAAAGCGACATGGCGCAACATCAGTTGGACAGGTTTAACTAGCACTAGCCCTGATGAGTCTATCTATCTATCTATTTTTTGTTTTCGTGCAGTTTAGAGAAATGGGGTACTTGCCAGATGCCATGGTAAACTATTTAGCACTTCTTGGCTGGAACGATGGGACTGATAAGGAGATTTTTACCAAAGACGAACTAAGTAAGAAGGATAAGTCTTGTTGAATATCTCATTTGGCTCTTTCATTTCTTCGTTGCAGTGGAAAAGTTCTCGCTTGAACGGATTACCAAGAGCGCAGCGATTTTCGATCAGACAAAACTCAGGTGTGTGCACGGTGCTTTTAAAAGGAGCTGAACTCCGATCCTCGCAGCTGGTTGAATGGGAAGTATTTGCATCAGCTTCCGGACGAAGAACTAGTAAAGCTAATAAGCAGCCACTGGCTGAAAGCCGGAATTTTGTCACATGCAGACTCCTCGTTCACTAAGGTGTGGCTAGTTTGAGTTTCACAGTTATAATTTGTGTCCGTTTGCCAGGAGGCAGTGGAACTCCTTAAGGATGGAATTGACGTGGTCGCTCGTTCTGAAGTTCCTCTGCTCAAGCTCCTCTCCTACAATCTCGCACAAACATTAGAAAGGTTCTCCTTTTCCCGCTATTTACTTCGCGCTAGATACTGATAGCCTGCACAAACTTTTCAGCAAGTCGCTTGGAGATCTCGTCAAGGACAACTTGAGAGAAGTTGCAGAAGCTCTCATCTCTGCTCATGACAATGGCGAGCTTGCGAGCGCACTAGAGAGCGGCCGGGACGGGTGGCAGACCTGGACAAAGAGCTTCGGCAAAAAACTGAATCGCAAGGTAATAAACCTTTTCTCTCTGGCTTTCGTATCTCTCAATCATTTTGGACAGGGGAAGAGGCTTTTCATGCCGCTGAGAATGCTTCTAACCGGTGAGCTACACGGCAGCGATCTCGGCAGCAGCATGGTTCTTCTACACAAAGCAGCTCAGCAGCAGTGCGTGACTGCACCGCAGTTCACGCCTCTCAGCTCTCGAATCTCACAGCTCAAGGAACTCGACTGGTCCAAGCTACAAGAGGATCACCAAACAATCGAGGCCGCGGCAGCAGCAGCATAGATAGGCGAGCACACTCTTGCTGGAAAGAAAAGTTTGGAGATTTTCCACGACTCGTAAGTTAAAATACTATCTTTGTACAAAGATCGTAAGAACTTTCAGAGTGAAGCGCGTGAGAAAGGCATCCTGAAAGTTATATAAATCTATTGAGAAGTCCCTCTGAGGCAAGCCCGGAGTTGAAGAGATAACATTGTGGCCACGTCTGTGAAAGGCGAATCTTGAGAGAATATTCTTGGTATCTTATTTAAAGGCGTCTTTTGTCCAAAACGTAAACCCTTTTTTATTCTCCATGTGTAAGTCGTGCGTGGACAACGAGAGCGCTCCAGCTCCAGATCCAGATCCATTTGAAAGATTGGCAGTGGTGATATGGGAGTTTGACGAGGCCCAGGAAGAGTTGGAGGAACTCCAGAGGATGTCTTATAGAAACTTAAGAGAACTTGAGGCCATATTCGAGAGAATAATCAGAGAATTGGATTCCTGATATCTAAGAGTAATAAGAGAACGTATTCTACTTGATGCCACAGTCAAATACCATAAATTAGTGAATACCAGTTGGGCAACAATAAATTAATGGTTAAGGGCGTAATGACCTCATGGCCCAAAGGATAAGGCGCTGGTCTACGGAACCAGAGATTCTGGGTTCGATCCCCAGTGAGGTCGTCATTTCTTTTTGTTTTATCAAATTAGGGTTTTAGCGGGGCAAACATTTTAGGGTTCTTCGATCGATTTCTCCCTCCAGGTACGCTGCGTAAGAGCTCGTCGCATCCCCAGCCATGGCGCGCAATGAGGAGAAGGCGCAGTCGATGCTCAATCGCTTCCTGGCCGCCAAGGAGGAGGAGAAGCGCCCCCCGAAGAAGCGGCGCCCCTACCTGGCGTCGCAGTGCCGCGACCTCGCCCAGGCCGACCGCTGGCGTATCGACGTCATCCGCGAGATCGGCAAGAAGGTGATGGACATCCAGAACCCGGGCATCGACGAGCACCGGCTGCGCGAGATGAACGACGAGATCAACAAGCTCATCCGCGAGAAGTGGCACTGGGAGGTCCGGATCGTGGAGCTGGGCGGCCAGGACCACCGCAAGTTCGCGCCCAAGATCACGGACGAGGACGGCAACGAGGCGCCCGAGATCGCCATGCCCACCGGCCGCGGCCCGGGCTACAGGTACTTTGGAGCCGCCAAGAATCTCCCCGGGGTCAAGGAGCTCTTTGACAAGCCCAAGGAGAGCAAGAAGAAGCGGTCGAGGCACGACATGTTTAAGTGCATCGATGCTGACTACTATGGCTACCGGGACGAGGAGGATGGAATGCTGGTGGAGGTGGAGAGGGTGGCGGAGGCGAGGATGCGCGAGGAGGAGCTCCGGAAGTGGCACCGGGTGGAGGCGGTGAAGAGCGAGGCCAAGAAGAGCATCAAGAGTGGGAATGTGGTGGTGGTGAAGTCGGTGCCGGTGCTGCTGGAGGGCGAGGCGGCGGTGGCGGAGGATGGCGGAGGAGTGGCGGCGGCGGGGGTGGCGGCGGTGGATGGGAGGGAGTTTGTGGCTCATGTCCCCGTGCCGGACAACGAGGAGATTGCGCGGCTCTTGCTGGAGAAGAAGAAGAAGGACTTGCTGAGCAAGTACGCGAGCGAGGACATCCTGGAGGAGCAGTCGGAGGCCAAGGAGATGCTCAACATCAAGCGATGAGGAGGAGATCTCCACAGTGTAACTCTCTCTCTTTTGTTCTTTTCGTTTCGAGGTAAGTTGCTTAGATTGAATTGTTCTTCTTTGTTTTCACTGATGATTTGTTTGTCTTCTCGCTTTTGTTTCCAGTGATTTTGTCTCGTGTAGCGCTCGCTTGACACCTGCCGCGGGAGAGATTGGATTGGATTGATTCGTATAGCTCTGTCCGCCACGCTGGGAGTGATCGCAGTCAATCGCAAGCTTGCGGCGGCTGCTAGAGGACAGATATCCATGGCGTTTTTATTATTATTGTTATCATCTTGGTGGACGACAAGGCAATTTATTTTGTTCTTCCGGCCGGGCGTTAAGTCTTCCAGAGCGAACACCAGCCGATTTGTGCCACAGCGCATTTTTCTGGATCAATCATGCTGAATCATTCGTTCTTCAACTTTTGACAGACTTTTTGAGAACTTTGTGGATCGATCCAGAAAACTTGTAAAGCGAGAGTGTTCGATCTAAAAGAACACTCGAGAACGAAATGAGGATTGTCATGGATCACTCTAAACTTATTACACGCTCTCACCTCCTAGAGAGATTTCTTCTTTCAACTTCCTGCCTCACAAGCTTTGCCTCACGGTGCATGCCACCGCTCGGGCCCAATGCCGTAATCGCGTCTTCACTTCTTGTGGACGATCCCCTGGAAATTGACAAACACAGGCGTGAGAATGAGAGGATTCACGAGAGATAGAGTTTGCGACTTACCGGGACTTGCAATCTGCCACGACGAGAATGTGGGAGAGCTCTCGAGGCTGTCGTCGCCACCACTCTCGGAAGAAAAGTCTCCGGCATCTGCGAGTGGCGATACCGGCGATGGCCGCTGGACCTCCTTGAGCTGCTGCGTGATGGCATAACACAGCTCTAGTGCCGGCAGCGTCTTCCACAGCTCCGGGTCGGCCTCGTTCTTGAATCCAAATCCCAGATCAATGCATCCCCGCAGCTCGTCTAGATCGGCATCAGTTAAGCTCCTGGTGCGGACATGCTCGACGCTATTGCTACTGCGCATGCCCGTGCAGTCAGATACGCATCTTTCCACCACTTTCTTCTTGGTGGATGACGAGTTTATCAAGCCTTTTCTGCGCTCCCATTCTCTGTCGTGGTCAATCTCGGTGCTCCAGGTGCTCATCTTGGCGCTGGTTTGCCTGTGGTAGCGCCTGGGAGGTGTGGTGGTGGCGGCGGCTTGCTCGGTCGCTGTTGTTGGTGCTAACTTTGCCGGCGCTTTTACTGACATTCCGGTCTTGTGCTCGCTGTGGATTGTAAGCTCGTCGCCGTGTCTCTGTCTGTAGGAACCAAAGCTGGCAAAAGGCCTGCTCAAGTGGCTGTCCAGTTCATGCATTTCCCTGTCATCGGGAGAAATGCTCCTCCGCCTCCTCCTGCTGCTGGTCCTGTTGCTCGTCGGCTCATGCCTAGCCCCCGGCAGCAACCTGGTGGAGCCTCTAGCCAGAGACGAGAAGAGGATCCCGGCACTGCTCAGGAAATCCTTGATGATCCCCAAACCGGAACAAAAGCTGCTTCTCCCGGACGACGATGATGAGGAGCCAGAAGTAGCAGCAGTGTAGTTGCTCCCCTTCATCCTCCAATATAAAGGAAGTGACTTTCCCCCTCCCTCCCCCTCCAGAAAAAACAACGCTGCAGATAAGCTCCAACTTACACACACCCCCCAAATAGTGACTTTGCAGGAGAGAGCAGTGCAGCAGCAGTAGTAGCAGCAACAGCCCCGAGGCCAGCCCCACCACCCATCCAGGACCCCTCTGAACTACCTGAAGGATCTAGTCTAGATTCAGCACCAGCGAGTGTGTCCAGGCCCCTCTCACTCACGTACATAACTCTGTTCTTCTTTTTCGCTTCTTCGCCCACTCCCCTTTGCATCAAATCCCATTCCGCAGCTTCCACACCGCAGGAATAAAGTGGAAAACCGAAGGCCGGACTGATGATCCTCATGAAAAGAATGCTGGCCGCTGAACCAACGTGGCGTCCACGTGCGCTCCCGAGTCAGGCCAGTTACATCCGCACCCCCCGTCCCCATTTGTTGGATGCGTTGCACTTTGTCGAGTATTGTCCAAGCGGCGGATGATATGCTCTTTTAACCCACGTCTTTCCCAAGAGACTCCCGTGCCGAGGAGCGAGCAAGAGTCCCCACGGTCCGAGTTGCACGGCTAGTCGCATTCGTAACTTTAGCTTTTACGTGCTCCCTCTTGCTTGGAGCGGACGTGTGTAGCTGCCTAGACTGCCAGCTTCTTGCGCTCGAAGAAGTGTGGGGCGACGGATGTGAGCCAGCCCGGATCGACGGCCGTGACATCTCGCATGTAGTTGTTGCCAGTGAACATGACCGAGTGGAACACGACACATCGCGGTGCGGCCCTGTCACGCACACAGATGGCTTTTGTAAGCTTTGGGTGGTAGTAGTCCAAAAGCAACAAATGCTAGTGGTGGTAAACGTACCGGAACAGAACAGATGAGGGGTGAATCAGCAGCTCTTGACCACCACGTAATCGCTTGTAGATGTTTCCTTCTCCACTCGTCTGGCAAGAGGTGACCGTCAGGATTACAACTAGCGGGCAAGTCATTTGTACCTCCTGAAGGAGACTGGCGTTCACAAAGAAGCCAGATGCAATGGCCTTCTTCAAGACCTGATGAAGCGTGCTCGAGTTAGCCACATGCTGGTGAGATTGGCCTATGATAAATGACAAATACCTCCATTTCATTCTCACAGGAGGTGAGCTTAACGCCCAGGCGCTGCATCAGCCTCCTTAGTTGGGCTCTAACGTCGGCAACCTTTTTCTGTATCGTCAAAAACAAAATGCTATATAAGAAGCACACTGAGAAAACACGTACCATAGCTTGATAGTTGACAAAATTTGTATGACACCATTGCGGTGATTTATTGCTCTTTACGAAGCCTTCGTAGACATTCAAATAAGTCACCAAATCACCCTGCAGGAAAGAAACTTTAAACTACAAAACACCCAAGTAGCTTCTCGCTTACCTCTGCCACGGCAAAACGATCTCTAGCTTCATCAAGCTCCTTTTGCCTGCCTCTACTCGATAACCAGATGGACTGCAAAATAGGAACTTTGCATGAACAGAGGACATATAGGTAACGCCTACCTGAACGGATAAAGTTGCAGCGATTGTAAGTGCTTCGCTAGAACAGCCGAGTGATGCAGATGCTATCAACATCTTAGATATCATTGGATCCTGAGAGTTGCAGTTTGTGTAAAGTTAAAAAGCCAATGGAACTTCCAAACTTACCAGAGGGATCTCTGCAATCTGATAACCTACAGGTGAAGTTAGCTTAGCATCGGTATCCAGAACTCCTAGCGCATACAGAAGCTCCAACGCTCTGACCATGGTTTCTGGGGGTGGTGGCGCAGGCCAATCGAACCGCATAATGTTATCGATGCCCAGTGCTTTCAGCTAACAGGAAAAACAAATAATAATAAGAAAATACAAAAAAAGCAGTAAATGAAACAGAAAAACTGACCTGAAGAATAGTAGAAACAAGGTTCGACCTTTGAATCTCAGGCACGGTTTCCGCGTCCATTTCGTGAAGAAACGTGTTCTCCGTATAGAGCCTGTAAATAAAATGATGAGAAAATGTCTAGGAAAAAACAACTTACCTGTAACACTTTCCAGGACGTACACGACCAGCTCTCCCTGACCTTTGCATGGCAGACGCCCTTGAAATTGGTGAAACGACAAGAGCCTCCATGTCCGTGAGCTACATGAACCAAGCAGAGTTACAATAAGTTTCGATCGATCGACGCGGAAAACATAAATCCAGACCGGATTATAAAATCGCTGCTTTGAAAACCCACTATCAACAACGTACACGATCCCCTGAAAAGACACAACATGTAGCCCGATTGATATAGAATCAGCTAAAAGTAACAAAACCTCAAGCGTTACTGATGTTTCTGCTATATTTGTAGAGACAATGACCTTGCGTTTCCCTCTTGGTGCTGATGAAAAGACAAGATCCTAAGAACAGACAAACTTATTTACCAAAACCTTTCAAGGGAAGAGTAAAAAAGAGTACCTGGTCGCTACGAGATAATCCAGCATACAACGCGAGAACAAAGAGACCTGACATAAGTTAAGACTTAGCAATAATAATTTGAAAAACGTTGATACCATCAGAGTCACGCGGCAGGTTTTCGGCTTCGTCGTTAAGCATCTCAACCGTTTTATCGACGTCGTCTTGGCCGGTTAAGAAAACAAGAACGTCTCCAGGAGGTTCCTGCGCAAAGATATCATAAAATTCATTCAAGTTTTAGAGCGGAAACTACCAGTTTATGAATCAAAAGCACGGTGGTAACAGCAGCTCTTATGTAGTTTTCAACAGGCTCCTCGCTATAATACAGACGTACTGGATGCATTCGTCCCTACACAAACGAAAGAACAGCTTCCGTTCACCATACAGAAGGAAAGTTGTCTTACCTGTACAGAAACAATTGCAGGCTTCAGATTTGGCATTTTATCGGTCTGTGCAATGATTTTTCGCTCTTGGCTATCAAAAACAAGTGTAAGATATCCATTGTCGACAATACTGATTTAAGAGAGTACCTCAAGTCGAAGAAATTCGCAACAGATTTAGCTTGCAGGGTTGCTGATGAAACTATAAGACGCAGCTCCGGGCGTTTCCGTTGGATCTTTTTCAAAAGTCCAAGAACTATATCAGTAGCAATCGATCTCTCGTGCGCTTCGTCAATCATTATAACACTGCCAACAGGTTTACAGTCAAAGAAGGGCGAAACAAGGAAGCATCAGGGAGCAGACCTGTATTTAGTAAGCAGAGGATCTTCCATCATCTCCTTCACGAGGACACCATCGGTCACATATTTGATCTTTGTTACCCCCTTCACGGAGAAAAATGTTTAGTCGAGCTTCCGGTGGCTGCAAAATGGTCTTACCGGCGTTGTGATGTCTTCAAAACGAATGGAATATCCAACTTCGGCACCCAGGGAGACCGACATTTCTTCTGCCACTCGCGCAGCTACAGTCTAGCAAAAACAAAAACCTCATCACATGTATACCTTCATTCCGTAAAAGACGTACCTGGACAGCCAATCTTCTAGGCTGGGTACACGCGATGACTCGGCCACCATCAGCCCATCCTGCCTCACAGAGATACTATACAGAGGACTTACACGGATACTTCAAGAGGAATGGACATACCTGAGGTATCTGCGTCGTTTTTCCACATCCTGTTTCTCCAATGACGATGACGGTCGCAGTTGTTTCAACCATGTACAGCAGCGCAGTGCGATGTTTGTGAATGGGAAGGCGATTGCGCTGCTTTTGAAGATTCATGTAGCCAGACCTGCAAAGGCAAACAAGTCAAAACATAGCTTCAGACCAGGAACTTACTGGTAGCCCCCCGCAGCTGCCGCAAGAAGAACATCGTCTTCATCCCTGTCGCCAGTAAGGACGACCCTCTCCCCAGGTCGCTCAGTTCCTGGCTTCCAGAATCCAGACATTGTTAGCAAGAATCCAGGAACCCTAAACCCAAAATTTATATGTTTGCATTTCATAGAAAAGAAAAAATGCTCGTAAACACATCCAGCCTGCAACACAAACACGTGAAGAGAAATGTTGAAACATCAAAAGCAAAGCCCACCTTGAAGCCTCCATGGCACAGGTTTTCGGAGATTTTAGCGCCGGAGGAGCTGGAACTGGAGTAAAACAAGAACTTTCGGGCCTGTAAATACTTGCGCTGTAAAGGTATGTAAACAAAATGAAGATAATATACCTTGGAGAGCAGCTTGCTGAATATTGAAAACCTGGAGTGCCTGCCATCGGCCTGTATTTGTGTTAGCTTATTCGACAAATAAAAGCCATCAAACCTTGAAGCTTCAAGCTCCTTGTTTCGAGGCTCCTTAGCGCGAGGCTCTGACGGCGTTCCAGGGAACTCGAAGACATCGAACACTCTGCAAAAATGTGGAGATTAGATGCGATCACCACAAGCTTGCCAACCTGGAAGGCGGAATTTCCGCACGACGTTCAGAGCGATTATTTCGAGCAGGATCCAAATGATCCAAATTAAAGGCAATTCGAGGAAGCTTGCTTGCGGAAAAGGCTGGAATGCAGTGTTTACCGCTTTGTTCCACTGCCGAATCTGGATGATGCTGTCTTTTGTATTGAGAACGCCCGTTCTGGACTGGAGAAGAAAATCCCAACTGAGTGCTACCTGAAAAGATCCAAGTCAATATATAAACTGCACGTCTAGATTACCGAGGATTTCAGTTGCTGGACTACAAACATCCACGTCCAGACGTTGATATTGTCTATTGACCACGCTTGTCACAGGAGCAACATCAAGCGTCTTTTGCAGCTGAGAACTGTTTTGTGAATTCAGCTGAGCTGAGAGAGACCTGGACTTCCCGTTGATGTGGTCAAAGATCTGATCTCCCGAAAAGCGATTCTCTTTGCTGACGGGAAGTTGTGCATCTTCGCCATCAGGAATCAGCTGGAAACTGGGCCTGCAATACCCTGGTGAATACAAAGTTTATGTTTTCAGTAAGCACATACAAACAGCCAGGTTCTTCGCTTCGTTGGTTTTTATTCTGGACTGATCGTTCAGTGACCATGCTGGCTTTCACGAAGTTTCTCAATGATAGCTTCTCCACAAGGTCGATCCCAACTACAAAAGAAAAGAGTTTTAATCGCGTCATTTGAAGTTCCATATACCATATACCATAAGTTTCGGAAATGAGAGCAGCGTCCACGTCCACGTCCTTACCCGCATTACGTTCTATAGATAAAGAAACGGAGTACGGGCTGTTGAAGGAAACAAGATCAGCTACTGAGCTATGAAAGCTTAAGATCAGCAAAACATAATAACCTGGAAAACTGTTCAACCCTGCACAGAATTGCGCTAGCATAAGTGAGATAGACTATATAGAAGATTGCTACCTTATTCTCTCATAGTAGTAAAGCCGATTCGTTTTTTCGCTTCCCACAACCTACGAGCATAACGAAATAAATAAGCCCGACTCTCGACCCGCTTACCAAGTGTGCAACATTGCACATAGAAGCCGTTGTCTTTCCCGGACGTGTTAATATCAGTGTAAGCTCATGATTTCCAGATGTATTCCGTCGAGTCTCGATTAGCTTCATGTCTATTCTGGGAGGAAGTTTGTCCAGTGCTTCTTTGACTTGGTTGCCAAAAGGATATTTTCGCCCAGTAATAGCTTCCAGCTTCCTTGGGTCCGCTTTCGCTAGTTTATCGAATGAATCGATTCCGGACTGAAGAAATGCCTGCAGCCAGAACCAAATATGTCATCCTCACATTAGTTTTAACACTCGGTACCTTGGCAGTAACCATTCCCACCCCAGCTAGTTGTTTAAGCTGATAAGAACTGTCTTCCCAAAGCCTTTCATGAATACATTTTGCTAGCTTCAAGGCAGTCACAGTTTCCTTGAAACGCTTCATGAACCTAAAGTATTCGCTCATACAACGGGAAATGCGGGTTCCATTTGTACAGATAGCAGTCACGTCCTGTTTCCTACGATGAAAAAGGTTAAATATGTGAAATTGCATACCTGACTCATAGTGAAGTCTAGCGTGGATGGATCTCCCGACAAAGCATCATTAATCAGAAGAAAGATCTTTTCTTCTCGTGATTGAATGCGCTTTTTAATCTTCCCGTTCACTCCCAGAACGTGGTACTTGATTTTACCAGTTGTATCCCCATTTATATCATTCAGTAGTTTCTTCTCGTTTCGCCTGAGCTGGATCCCTGATACACGTTCATCGTCAAATAAGTTCGACAGCATTCAGAACTCACATGAAAGTTCTTGTGACTTGGCCAAAGTATAGATCATATCTTCGACAGCACACTTGATTGGTGCCTTGGTTATTTCCTTCATTGTGCTGAAGTCCAAATAGTACTTCGCCATTAGGCGTCCTGGTTCTGTGACAGAATTATATTACGTGAGGTATCATAGTAATGTACCTAGAGGCTTCAGCTGAAATCCATATTCATCAGTTTCAACAAGTCGGAACTCAGCCAGTTCGTTGACATTCCTCAGACAAATTTCTAAGGTAAACTATTAGTACCTTTCGGAATTAAAATTGCTCTTATAACCTTTGAGATGATTTTCGAGATGATCTTCACGAGCTCTATCGACCTTATAGTGCTGAGGATTCTGAAATAAAGAGAAACCTTCGAGTTACAAGTAGTAAAAGCTAAAAAACCATCTTACTTTTTTTATTCTGACGTATAGGAAAGAAGCTTTCAGCCACTCAATTGCCAAACTAACGTCCGACACGGTCATCAAAACTATTTCAGCGTTCAAGTGCTCCGCTATTGCAGGAAGTAACCTGGAATCGAGAAACTAACAATGGATAAGAGGATGATTTAAACATACTCTGACTCCACAACTTCCGATCCAGAAAGAAGATTCTCGTAAAGATGGACCTGTGAAGTTATTTAGTTCGTCTCTAATGAAGAATTTAGCAAAGATACCGTGTCTCTTCGTGTCATTATAATAACAAGGCCGTTATCGTCAAATTGAGGACGGCCAGCCCGTCCACACATCTTAGAGAACAGTGTCAGAGGGAAAAGCTTGACCAATAACGTTTGCATACCTGCACAAGCGTCGATCTTTCGTATTCCGTGTAACAGCCTTTGTCTTTGTTACTAAATGAAATAAGAAATGAAAAGGCAAGAATAAAATCAAGACTACAAGTTCACTTACAAGTACTGTGTCGATTTTATGATGACTGTGTGAGCAGGGAGATTAACTCCATGCGCAAGCGTGTTTGTAGTACACAGAATATGAATATCTCCCCTTAGAAACAGATTTTCGACAAGGCTCCGTTCTATCATGTCCATACCACCATTGTGAAAGCCAACTGAAAAGCGAAAGTCGCAAGGTGATCAAAACAAGCTTCAAGTTGGCTCACCTCCACATCTTATGCATTCTTGTAAATGCTTGTCCTTCGAAGACCTTGCAGCAAGCTGTAATCTTTCATAGTGCTCTTGACTTTTGATGAAAGGATTGCGAAAGTTCATGCTTGAAGCGGCACGAGCTACTGTAGTAGCAGCTTCTTGTGCTCCCTTTCTAGTGGAGCAGAATACTAGAACAGCCTTATCCTTCGCGTCCTGCATGATAATATCTGTTTGCAACCAAGAATCATTACGAGAGTAATTATTCATCTACTGCTTTACCAAAAAGAAAGCCTTGTAGCCTCTGCTTTAGAAAAATTAGTATACAGCGACAAAGAGCTTCGCTCTCACCCTTTCGAAAAGAAAGTCGTTCTTGGCAGGAGCATAGCCTGCCAGACGAGGATATAAGGAAGGAAGTATGGAAATGCTATGACTTACCCAAGACTTTCGTAGTCAGTTTTACGGGACGTACTTCTTCTCCAAACCTGTACACAAATCAGATATCTATAACGTTCTCAGGTCATATACGTGCCTCTTCAGTGCGCGAGGCGGAACCTTCAGCCATTCACCTGAAAAATCAAATGAGTTTTTCGACGATGAAGAATCAACGTCTGTACCGATATCTTCAATGTTTGGGATTGTTGCTGAAACAGCAACAAACCGAATCGTGGAAAGCGGGCACCCTCCCATCTCTGGATACCGACAAAGCATTTTCATTCTACTGACAACGGCTTCGAGTGCCGCACCGCGTGGTTCGTGAAGGAGGTGAACCTCGTCAATCTCGAAAAGGCCAACATCAGCGAAGAAACTCAAGCCCCCATGATCCTTGTTCCTCCTTGTTATAGAATCAAATTTCTACATGCGACGAATGAGAAAAAAAAGAAGAACATAACAACGTAGAACGAACGAAGCATTTCCAGTACCTCTGGCGTCGTGAGAATTATGTCAGTGTCGGGCATGGGCCTCACATCCGCATCACCGGTTAGCTCCTGGCAATTCAATCCCAGCACTTGCCCAAACTTTTGCTTCCACTCCCTCAGTTTCTCTTGGACAAGCGCTCTGGTAGGCGCAACGTAAACCTGAGAAAAACTTTCATGAGACTCGGCATTGGCGACAAAAGTAAAGACCTCACAGTTTTCAGCGTTCCGGGGGTATGCTGGAACTGTCCGTCCGGTCCAATGGAGCGGCTAAGAAGATGCAAGATGCACAGCTCAAAGAGGACTGTCTTGCCGCTTCCCGTTGGCGCCGAGACCACGATATTGTCATCGGACAGGAATGCCTGGCTGAAGCATTCGCTCTGGACAGAATTGAAGTATCTAGAAGACAATGGATGGATCGATCATCACCGGAATTCTAGATCATACACACCTGAAGCTGAAGATCGGCCGAAACGCGGCCGGGAGAAGCGTCACCGCCTTGAGGCAATCGAGATCGTGCATCGCTCAACCCTAGAAATATTTTCCCGCGCGATTTTACTCATTTGAACGATAAAGTAGGTCAGCTAATATCCGGCCCTCAAAAACTCACAAGCATGCCGTCCTAGCTCAGTTTGGTAGAGCGCGTGGCTTTTAACCACGTGGTCGTGGGTTCGAGTCCCACGGACGGCGATCCTCGTTTTCTTCGTCACACGTTTTATCAGTGCTTTAAAGGTCGTCTGTTTTTTATTTCCATGCCTAGAAGCATGGGCGGGAGCGAAGAACACGGCGGCTATGGCTATGGCGGTCAGTACTATCCCCCACCCGATCCAAGCATTTATCCTCCCCCACAAGGTGCGTATGGATCGTATCCCCCGATTCCTTCACAGGACAGAGCTTTCGATGCTCCACCATACCCTCCTCCATCCAATCCCCCAAATCTCTATCCAGCTCCTTCGTACGAGCACGATCACCACCACCACCATCATCACGATCATCACAGTCACCACCACGATCACCACCGTCACGAAGAACACCAGGGACGCCCCGACCGTGAGCTCGGTCAACTCGTGAAGCTTTGCTGCCAGGCCAACATGGATTTCAGCTTGGCTGTTCGCGACGATGGAGTGGTGCTCGTTCCTTCGAATCATCACGATGATTCTCAGGTCCTCTTGAACTGCTCTGATTCTTTGGTTCCAGCGTGTTCCTTCTGTTTTTTTTTTTGCTTTTCGCAGCAATGGTACAAAGATATGAGTTGGAGCACTCGAGTGAGAGACGAGAAAGGATTCCCAGCGTTTGCTCTCGTCAACAAGGCAACCAGGAAGGCTCTGAAGCATGCAACCGAGGAGTTACAGCAGGTATTCTAGCGATCGATTTTCATACCTTTGAAGAAACTTTGGATTTGCAAACCCGCAGGTCTTGCTGGTGGATTACAATCCTCGCGTGGTGGACGAGAGCGTTCTTTGGACTGTAAGCGAGGACATGGGGAGTGGCTTTCGAACCATCCGGATGGCGAGCAACATCAAGCTCAACCTCGATGCGTTCCGCGGTGACAAGCGATCCGGCGGAGTCAAGGATGGAACTCCCGCGGTACTGTACCGCTGGAAGAAGCAGGAGAACCAGCTCTGGAAGATCATCCCGCTCTAAAGCAGTAGAGACTCTACTTAAATCAAGCGTAAGTTTGGTGTCGTCCAAAGTTCGTTTTTCAATGATTTCTTCCTCTTTCCAGGGAAAGAGACAGGAAGAAAAAATCAACCCGCTGGTAAATAAAAGTATCTTTTTTTTTTCCACTCCGACAGATTCGCATACGACGCCACGCATATGCTGCGATCTGTCCTTCTCACGCGCATTCTCTCAAAATACATAAGCATTTGGGAAAGTTTTCTTCTCTCAGTGGTCTCCACTTTTGGTTTCCCAGATTTTTGAGAGGAGGAAGGAGAAATCCCAGATTTTTGAGAGGAGGAAGGAGAAATCTCTCAACCATGTACTCCGGAGGAGGTGGCTACTACGGTGGAGAACAAGAAGAGAGGAGAGGAGGAGGAGGAGGCTATGACGAAGGTGGCTATGGAGGAGGTGGCTATGGAGGAGGATATGGTGGAGGAAGAGGTGAGTCCGGCGGTGGCTATGGAGGAGGAGGAGAATATGGTGGAGGAGGAAGAGGTGAGTCCGGCTATGGAAGGCCAGAGCGCGGTGGCTATGGCGGGGGCCGAGAGGAAGAAGAAGAAGCACAGTTCCACCGTCGTCGTCCTCCTCCACAGTCGTCCGGGAAGGATCAACTCGTGAAGATCTTTTGCGCTGCAAATCCTGACTACGTTCTCACTGTCAAGGGTGATGAGCTTGTTCTCGCTCCAGGCAACGGATCGAACGAAAGCCAGGTTTTCTTTTCTCCTTTCTCTCAATCGATCTCCACAGCTTTTCTATGTTTTTCTGCAGCAATTTGTCAAGGATTGCAGGTGGGGATCCAAGGTCCAAGACGAGGCTGGATCACCAGCGTTTTCGATCGTGAACAAGGCGTCCGGGCTGGCGCTCCAGCACGGGAGCGACTCTTTCGAGAAGGTAAGCTTTTCTTTCTTTCTTTCAGAGGCCGATGATCTTGTTAACTTCAGGTGATGTTGAGCCCGTATGATCCGGAACGCTTGGACGAATCCGTGCTGTGGACCCAGAGTGACGACGTTGGCGGTGGCTACCAGTGCCTACGACCAGTCGGGAACGTCCACTTAAACCTCGATGTCAAGGGCGGCGAGGGCGTTCGATCCGGCGCGGAGCTCATTCTTTTCAAGTGGAACAAGCAGGACAACCAGAAGTGGAAGATCATGCCAATCGAGAGTAAGTTTTTCTTCCTTAGATCTTTGTTGTCTATAAATCTTTTCCATATGATGAACAGATAGTGGAGGATCGTACGGTCATGGATATGACGAACAAGGAGCTCATGGATATGGCGAAGAAGGACGTCATGGATATGGTGGTCGCCCGGCGTATGGCGATTATTAAGTAAAAGTGGGTGAAAGGACTTTGTGTGGTAAATAACCAGATAAAAAAGTGTTTTGGCTTTATCACTCTAGTTACATGGTTTTGATTTAAACGTATAAATTTGGTTTTAATATAACAGGTTTTCAGTACTGTTCTCAGAAATGGAGAAAGAAATGTAGCTGAGCTTTCATGTCAACCTAATCTACTGCGGCAAATGTGGTGACGAGAAACGCCATGTAGCTGTCTTAAAAGTGTCGCTAACTCTTTCTCCTTGGAAAGAACCGGGAGACGCCACGCTCTCAATCCCCTCTAGATCTTCCTTGGAGAGAGACACTCCAAGAGAAGCTCGATTCTCTTCAAAGTTTTGGAGCTTGGTGGTGCCTGGAATGGGAACAACGTCGTCACCTTGGTGCTGGACCCAAGCCAGAGCAAGCTGCCCCGGAGTGCACGCCTTCTTCGCAGCTATCTTGCTAAGCTTTTCGTATATGACTTTGTTGCGCTCCAAGTTCTCTCCTTGAAACTTTGGAATGGTCTGTTATATATCATATGTGATAATCATATCGAGATCATGAATGGAGATGCATACCTTTCGGAAATCTCCGTCCCCAATTTCCTCCGCCACTGTTTTCCCTGAGAAAAATCCTCGTCCTAGAGGACTGTATGGAACGATTCCAATTCCTAGCTCCCTAATAATTATCCAGGCCTAAACGTGTTATACGTGATCCATGACGCACTAAGAAACTTGATCTTACCTGCAAGTTGGAACTACTTCCTCCTCAATGTCACGAGTCCATAGCGACCATTCAGGCTGGACTGCAGTGATTGGATGGATGGCGTGAGCGCGGCGGATATCTTCAGCAGATGCTTCGGAAAGTCCCAAGTATTTCACCTTTCCTTCCTCAACGAGCTCTTTCATCGCTCCAACCTGCATGAATTCTTTTTTTAATTCATAAACACAATGCTATCGAGTAAGAAAAATGGAAGTACCGTGATCTCGATGGGAACACTGTGATCAACGCGGTGCTGGTAGTAGAGATCAATGTAGTCGACCTGGAGCCTCTTCAAGCTGGCCTCGCAAGCGGCACGGACGTAAGCGGGATCCCCTCGGATGGCCATACCGCTCAACTTGCCGCTGTCGGGAAAAGTTATTCCAAACTTTGTAGCGAGCTGCACCTTGTCCCGAATGCCTTGAATTGCCTGAAAAAATGGCCAATGCATTGGAAAGGGAAGAGCAAATCAGCTGTGGAGATACTTGCCTTTCCAACAAGAACTTCGTTGGTATGTGGCCCATAGACATCCGATGTATCCAGGAATGTGACACCAGAATCAACAGCCTTGCGGATGAGATCGATCATTTCGGCCTCGGGCTTTAGAGGGCCATAAACTTTATGGGACATTCCCATGCATCCAAGCCCCTGCTTTGAGACTTCCAAGCCCTGAGACCCCAGCTTTACCTTTGGAACTGCCATAGCCAATATCAAAGAGAAATAGAGGCCAAATGTCTTGTGGGTGATGCAACCGGAGAAGACGAGCTACTTGCCATCCGCAATTGGAGGTGAATATAAAGGCCTCCATTCCACGGGCTGTTTCGTATCCGCTTCCTTTGTCCCTTCCAGGAAGTAGAGAAACTAATTTGCTACAAAGACAAATTATTATTAGTGAAGATCCAGATGTGCATTTTGGATCCACTCTCTTACGTGCGAGAGTTGGCGAGGAAAAAACGCCATGTAGTTGTTGATTCTTTCTTTCAATCTCCAGACCTTCCTTGGAGAGAGTGATCCCAAGAGTATTCGAAGTTCTGGAGCCTGGGATGGGAACGATGTCGTCGCCTTGGTGCTAGACCCAAGCCAGAGCAAGCTGCCCGGAAGTGCAATTCATTCTCGCAGCTATCTTGCAGAACTTCTCGTATATGGCTTTGCTCCGCTCCATCTCTGGGAGTAAAACTGAAATCATCGTCACCAATTTCTTCCAGCACGGCGAAGTATCCTCGTCCGCAAGTTGCAAAGATTTCTTCCTCAATGTCACGGCTCCAAAAGAGACCACTCGATCTGGACACCAGTGATTGGATGAATCGCGTAAACTACACGGATATCTGCAGCCGACACTTCCGAGAGTCCTAAGTATTTCACTTTTCCTTCCTCCACGAGCTAGTTTCTCGCTGGCTATACTTTTACGAACCAATAGTTCGACGTTCTATCCACAAGACGAATCGTGAAAAATATATCAAAAGCGCTCTTGCCTGGCGCTTTTCACTTGGAGCTTGAGAAGCTCAGCCTGGAGAGAAGTATTCTTGGTGTGGAAGCTGGGCTCTCGGCGGCGGCGGCGGCATACAGCGCTTGACACCGTTTGATCTGTTTGAGCTACCTGAAGTTACCAAACGAGGGAGAAGAAAACGTGATAAGTACCTCGTCTGGACTGAATTGAAGCAGCGTTCCCACAACTGGCAGCAATGCTTCCACCTCGCCTGCAGCACCATTTAGCATTTTCTCTCCGAAAGTTGAAAAATGTGGGTACTAACCAGTCTCCAGGAGCTTCAATATCACATTCTTGAGGTAAGTCATGTCGACATTCTCACGCCTTGCAGCACGATCCATGTTCCGGAGTTCGTTTTTGAGCACAGCTTCCTGCCGAGTAGTCAGAAAACGGTTTAGTACACGCAATAGGGAGTGAAACGTCTCTTAACCTGTTGGCTGCGTAAGCGGTTCTCACGTTCCAGCTCCGACAGCTCTTCCTGAAACCACAGCCAAATTTAATAGCAGCCAAAAACCACTTTCTCGCTTACTTGTAGCACTTGTATTTGGCGCTGACTTTGCTTCATCTCTTCCTCTCTCTGTGCTTGTTGTCTTGCGAGCAACTGCTACGGGCCGTAAGAAAAATAGATAACAGAATGTGAAACTTTACACGTACCAAAATTTGTTGCTCCGCAACTGCGACTACTTCTTGTTGCTTTGGTTCTGCAGTATGTCGTGAAAGAACAGAAACAAAGGCTTGGAAAGAACTACCTGTTTTGACGTGGTTTTCTTGAGGTTGAGATTGAAGTTTCTTTTGCAAAGAATCGTTGTCATCCAGAAGCTTGTTTATTTCTTGATCCTTAGCTTCCATCATTTTGTTCGCCATATCGCGAAAGTTAACAAATTCATCCTTCACACATTGATAAGCTGAAGCCCAAACAGGGAGAAAGGAAAAACATTTACCTTCAAAATGTCGTATTGAGCACGAAGGGCAGCCATTTCAGTTATTATGCTGCCGTCGGCAGGCTGCTTATGTTTCGTGACAAGTTCTTCGTATTTCTCTGCAGTCAAAATCATTAAGCGTTTCCATTATCAAGCAGTATACCTTGCCAAGACAATTCCCGCTCCCTCGAATGTTTATCCCATTCCTGCCGTTCATACGATAGAATACCCTTCACAGACTCGAGCTGGGTTGCCAAATCCTTGATGCGCTGTTCAGCATCGACAACAGCTACGTTTCTGGAAGAAAACGAAGTAGAATCGCTAGAAAAATTAAAAAAGAACAAAGAAATACTACCTTGCAGCCAGTTGAGTCTCGTATTCAGTAACAGTTTGCTTCAAAGTATTAACAGCTCGATCCCTTTCTGCAATAGCTACTGCTGCTTGCTTTTGAGCGTCCTACAGAAAAAATTCAATTAGACGTATCAACCGCACGCATAAATACACAGACCTTTAGAGTTTCCTCCCGAGCAGCAGCAAGGTCTGCATCTTTTGCAGCCTGAAGTTCTGCTTCCTTCTTTTGAAGAAGAGCATGAGCTCGCTGCTTGTACGAAGAAAATTCTTTGCTTAGACGGGCAACCTTCAAGAACAATCGATTTTGCACTTGTATCAGAATAAAAAAGACTACCTCCTCCTTAGCCAGAGAGGTCTCTCTTTCGGCATCTGTAAGGAGCTGGCGTTGACTATCCAGTTCAATTTCCTTCTGCCCTGGCACCATAAAAAATAATCAGATTAGAACAGTTTAAAATGAAAAGAGCATCAACAGTACTGCAAGAGCTTCACTTTTTGACACTGCTAATGCGTCCTCCATTTGCTGATACGCTTGGTCTAGCTGGTGAATTCTGTTTTGCAGTTCAGAAATACTTTCCTTCCACATTTGGCGCTCCTTTTCCTGACAGAGCAAACGAATCACGATGACATCTTCCACGAACAAATGACAAACCTGATCCTTTCGCAGTTGCTCCGCCTCTCTCCTTTCAGCTTCTACAGCTGCAGATAATCTTGCTACGTTCCCAGTTAGTGTGGCTTCGACATCAGTCAGCTTAGACTCTTTTTCCACTAGTAAAGCCTACAAGATCAGGTAAGCAAACTATCAAATCACTCAACGGAATGATACCTGTAAGTTTGATATAGTTTCAGCTAGCTTATTCGTCTCCAAGGTTGCATCCGTCAACTGGCTTTGTAAGGTGTCAACTATCTGAAGGAGCTTCAGTAAGTAGCTCGACTAAAGGCATTGCAATAAACCTTCTTGTTTTTCTCGTCTATCTCCAAAAGTACAGCTCCGTGTCTCTGTTGTATTTCCTTTATGTCAGCATGCATACTTACAACACTCTGATAAATTGTTAATCAAAGAATCCACGAAACAAACAGAAGAATTACCTGTTCTTTTTCTTGAACAAGTTTTTGCAACTCTTCAAGGTTCTCATCTCTTGCAGTAAGGGCATGTTTGACATCGTCGATTTCCTCTTTAAGTCTGTCAAACCATGTTAGGAAGTTTACCATGCAAACTTGCTTACTTTGCGTTAGAGTTGCGAAGATTTTGTCTTTCTCCGTCCAATGCCCGTATTGCATCGCCCGCCTGTGCTCTGAAGCGCTCGAGGTCACCCTGCATAGTAGCATGCTTTGCAACAGCCTCCGAAAGCTGCATTGCAATCTCGTCTTTTTCCTACAAGCTCCTGCAATGTTAAGCACCTCGTCGAAAAATCGTACCTACCTTTTGTGTCTCCTGTATGCGTTGTTTTGCTCGCTTTTGCAGCCGGTTAAACTTTAGATCCAGTTCAGCGTACTTGTCGTCACGCTCCTTCAGCTGGTTCTCGAGGCTGCCAATAGCTGAAACTGAAACCTCAGCAAAATGAAAGAAGGTTAAATCCTGAGCCATACCATGTTGATGTTCTTCCGAGATTTTCTGCATTTGCGATTGTATCGCGTTAAGCTCGGATTCAAGAAAGCTGATTCTTTCTTGATAACTTGCAACTTCTTCAGAAGAACTTGCAACCTGACCATCCGGTAAAAATCCATCAACTTCTTTTCCCGGGCTCAAAAGCTCGTTCGAGTTCTTTGATAGCGAGATTTGACCCTTGAACTTCTCCAACTCCTCTTCCAGTAGTCCAATTGTTTTCTTCTGATCTTCGATGATCTCAGCTGTTGATTTTCCGTCAGTGCTGCTCTCTAGATCCTATAAGATGTTGTTAAAGAACGTAAAACTTGAAAGAAGAAGCAAAGTACCTTACGGCTCGATGCCTCGATCTGTAAGGAACTAACGGTTGGTCATTTATACATGCAAGAAAATGCTTACCGCCTGCATTTGCTGCATAAGGTGGCCCATTGCAGCTTCCTGGCCTTCTTGCGTTGCTTTATGTGAAGCCAGCATTTCTTGCATTTCCTTCAAAGCTTAAAAACAGACATTATTTTCCATCTTTCCGAACTACTTTGAATCATACCTTGGCCTTCAAAGCGACATCTTCACTCGCAGTCTGCAGTTCCTTGCTCATCCTAGCAAACAAAAAGCTCTAACACAATCTGGAGGAAGAAATGCATTTACCTGTCATGCTCCACAGACAGCCTTTCATTCGCAAGCTTAAGAACATCTCGTTCTTTGGATAGCGTTTCTATCTTCTCGTGCATTTCAGCAACTCGAGAGAAAGTGTCAGAAACTTGTTGAGCAGCGGAAAGAAGCTGAGCTTCCATCTTCTCGTTAGCCTAGTAGATAATGAAATTCAGTACAAAGAAGCCTTTCATCGAATCGACTATACCTTTGACAACTCTTCAATACGATGCCGACTTTCCTCTAGCTGCCCGCTCAAACTAGCCTTTCTGTTGCGCTCGTCTTCCAGCAATTCCTTCACTGGCAGCGCCCGTACACGATAAGTGCACCAAACAAACAAACAATACAATACAATGCTGGCTCACAACGTACATTGACAAAGCTCGCTGCGAAGCTGATCGATCTCACCGCGAGCTACCTCGTCCTCCCGCGCTTCCCCATTGGAGACCTCATCGCTCATCCGCATTGCGGACGAATTGACCTCTACATCTGACCTGGCTGCTTCGCTGCTAGATTTCGCCCCCGGCGAGGAGGAATTGGTGCAGCTCATGGCCGCGGCAGCCTCCGCGGCCATGGCACGCTGCTCCGCGGCCTGGATCTTCGCCTGGAGCTCCGCCTGCTGCTTCTTGAGCGCCACCATTATCTTCTTCTTCAGCGACGCCATCTCCGACACCAGGCGCCCATTCTCCGCCTCGAGCGCCTCCTCGCGGGATCCCATCGCTGGAGCTGGATCCCCAAAATATTTCTCTCCAAAACCCTAATCGCCACACTATGATCGTTTGATCATCTGGAAAAATCAAAAACAACCTAGTGTAATTCTTTTGTATGACTTGACCACGTCCAAAAAATATAATCTTGGTCAAGTTCACGCCGTTTGGTTTGATCCGATCTTTCTTTCCGTGAGAAATCATGGATCTTTGATCTGATCCTCCGGACATTTGGGATCGATTGCGATCATCCCGATATCTATGATTGATCTTCGTTCCTCATATTTTATTTAGTTCTTAGCAAGAGACCTGCGAGAGGAGCTTGTACCGCTTGGCAATGCCACGGACATGGTTGCAAGAACGCGGCGGGAGCGATTGGATCCTCCCATTCGCAACAATCCGATTGTTTCCTTGCCTGGAAACCCCCGAATCGATCGATTGCGCAGCGGTACCATCACTCGAGAAAGAGGGAACTTTTCGCTTGTGACCGGTCATGAAAATCCCATGATCAGCCATGAAATTCGAGCTCGTCTTCTTCCTCTCGTGCAAGCACCAGTTGCAGAGCCTTGGATTGGGATCCTTGGGATAGAGATCGCTGCAGTATCTGGAAAGCAAAAATCTCTCTCTCTCAAGCACCGACAGCGAAAAAAGCTCTTAGAATTCAACCTGTGCTGGTATCGCCCCTGGCATCCATCGCAGGGAAATAGCTCCGTGGAGAAGCCAACATCGCCACACATGGTACATTCTCTAGCGCCCGCCGAGAATTTCTTGCCGATGGCCCCCTCCATAACCCGTGGAGGGGAGAGGGAGAGGTTTATAACACAAAAGTAAGAAACAGTAGAGAATATTCTCTATGAATCTATCATAGACAAGACTTCTTCTTTGTAGCTTCGAGAAATTCTCGAAGTTTTTGAGACGATGATTTCGGCATTGACAATCTACAAGAACAAGGCACTGTTTAATCAATGCTCCGATACAAGTCGAAACAAACGAATCGGGGTGAGAGCTCCAATTCAGCCTTTCTTTGCTTCCAGCGCAGTTTCGCGAGCGAGTTTGGCGAAACGATCCAAGTCTGCTTTCAAGATGCCTTCCACCAGGGGAGAAAGGGCCTGAAAACCAGTAGAAGATCAGGGACAAGAAAGAGAGAAATCGAGACGCCTACCGATGCAACCATTCCGATAACCTCAGGAAGCTCGTACGAGATTGTAAGCTGCAAAGGCAGACGATAGTAAGCTCAGGAAACAGAATTGTGATAGTCTTTTCTTGCCTCGACTCGACAAGCTGACGGTCCCCGGGGATAAAATCGCACTGTACCTCTAATAGCACAAGAAGCAAACCAACGTAAAGCTTAGACTCAATTAACGCATACCGGTTTGGAAGTCCGTCTACCGAACGCCAGTGTATCTTCTGGTGGTGAATCGGCTGGAAGAACAAGAAAAAGAACACGTGTAGCTAGAGAAAAAGAGTGCAAGACTTCACCTGTAAATTACGTGCCAGCCAAGAGAACTCGAATTTCTGACCCAAGGAGTCTGTGCTTAGAGTCCAGCGTGACAATTCAGGCTGATCTTCGAGTACCTAAACAAAGTTGGCATTCAGAACAAAGAAAAACACAACTTTTAGATCACCTTAACAGAAGTAATCCAAGGCATCCAGCGACTAATCCTCTCCCGGTCACTCCACATATCCCAGGCGACAGAAAGAGGAACTTCCACGTCTACCTGGGCCCTGCTCAATCGAAAAACACAAAAAATTACTTCACAGCATGACAGAACTTCGAAGAGAGCGAGCTTACGAATTGTCGATCCAAGTTGCAGCCATGAATCGACTCCCATTCGATGGAAGAAAATCCTTGAGACTCGGCCCGAATAGAGACCGCCCACCTTGGCGAAGACCAGCAAGCCCAAAACCCCCTCTACTGCTACATATCCTGGAACCCCGTCGAACAGAACCACCGAGCGCCGCAGCCTTGGCACCAAAAGCCATACCACAGCTAGCCGAAGAAGAGAGCGCCATTGCTTGCAAATCGAGGGAGGGCGCTAACCACCACGCTTTCCTCTTTATAAACTGGGAAGAATATCGTTGGACGCCTCAATCCAACCCATCTTCCATAAGAAATCAAACACACGCTCCGTCTTGGCCGCATCAACCTTGAACAGGTGGCATGCATCGTCGCGCCTCAGGCCCCCCTTTTCAACATTCTCTAGCATAAGAACCTCTTTCATCTTTAGATAATGCGCTGGTAATAGTCTTAACTGAGAGCACAGGTCTTGCTCCTGTAACAAACGAGCAGCCAGATTAGAAGCACGTCGAGTGAAGCGAAGGCGAACTTTACCGTGCTTGACAGGAGATCAATCCCCGGAAAACCAGCCAGATCCAGTGGACTGAAGCTCGAACTTTTCTTCGTTGTTTTAACTCCCACCGACGGAAGTTTCGATATGTTGTTGGCTCCGCTTCGATACCTTTGCATGTCACGGGTGCCTGAGGAGGACGGCTCCGCGCCGTCTCTATTTATTGCACGATTTGATCTGTTAGTCATCTTGCTGTTCAGTGCGTCTCTTCCCTTTCTGAGGTTGGCCTCGGCACTGCGCTTTCTCTTGTCCATCGCGTAATACTCTCCTTCGGCCAAAGTATGACAGCCAGCACTGCGATATTCCTGCAAAAACGTAGGGATGAAACTTCAGGTCACAAGATTTAACTCACTTGTAGTTCTTCTATACGCTGTCGAATCTTGATCTCCGCAGTAAGCCCTGCAAGAAGTGCCTCATGTTCTTCTGATGAATGATAGCGAAGAAACACCCGACTTCTTTGAATCAGTTCTTTTTCCTCCTTGGTCTTCTTCCTGTCTAATGCCTGCTGGCGCTTCACATTTAGTAGCCCTCTTTCAAGTATGAAATCCTTCCGCCGTTTTCTTTCTTCAAGCCTGCATGGTTCAGAGATGAAACACTTACGTACACTTCTTAGAAACAATACCTTGCAAGATAAATATGAAGCATTTGCAATTTGAGCTCGCGATCAGCATCTGTATCGATGTCTTTAAACTCCATTTCTGCCAGTGGGAGCTCTGCATCGTTATCGTATTCTGGATCAAACTCCTGTCTCTTGGCATTGTAGCCGGTTGTATCCGTTGTCGCAAGACTGGGTTTAGTTTCGTCCTGTGCTGGTTTCGGCTTCTTGTTACCCAAACTACGAGTGCTTTGACCTCCATCTAAACATCATAATAAGAAACTGAAACTGCTCGAACAGAGCGACTTACCTTCAAGAGTAGGATTTGCTCCATTTGCAGTGTCCGGTGCTTCCTTTACTTGCGACCCTGCGGACTTTTTACCAGCAGAGACCGGGTTACTTGGGAGAGACTCATTTAATTGCCCCTCGGTATCCTCCACTTCTTTCTTAGCCCCCGCTTTCAGGCCTAAATTCATGTCACCAAGTATAAGTTGTAGTTCTAGATCGAGTATGACCAACCTGATGAAACACGCGTTGGGGATCTTTCAAGAGGTTCAGTTTTAGTATCCTCGACCCTGCAAATTATACAAACTCAGAGGTGAAAAAAGTCATGGAAAAACAGCACTTGATTCTCGAAGGGGAGATAGTGGCCTCCTGCTTCACTGTTCTTGGAGTTGATCCGTCTGGATAAGGCAGCAAGTCTGCAGAGTTTCAAAGTAAGAAATCACACCGAGCACTATAAAACCACAATACATACTTTTCTTTCCTTCCGTATAAGCTTTGGCTAGCGCTAAGAGCTCGGCCTTCGTTTTTCCAGCAACATTAGACATGTCCTGCAAACAACAAGATTAGAAAAATACCAGAGGATCAGAGGAACTGGCATACCGGAAGAGGCGAGCAAACAGATTTCATGTACTCCGTCATATAGTGCTCATAACATCGTGTCTTGTTCTTTGTACCAACGTGCTCGGCAACCTCTGCCCAATTTCCCAATCCATACATTTCGATTCCCTGCCATGATAAGCGTAAGTCCAGTGGTTTACAGTATTAGTCTCCAAACTCTTACTTCCAAAAGTAAAATCTCCTCGTCCGCGTTCCAGTCCGGGTGAATGAGAGGAAATGAGAGATTGTCCTGACAAAAGAGTCATCCGTGAGAACGACGAAGAAACGTAAGAAAAAAAACACTCACAATGACTCTGTAAGGATGATTGCTCTTGTGCGTCGAAATCTCCACACCGACAGAGAAGCATTCGATGCACAGATCAAAATCAGCACACTTGGCGCATTTTATCCTGATCATCCCCGACACATCCTTGTTGCAGTAATTGCAGTGATAAGCCGCTCGCTTTGCCTCGCTCGATCCTGCATTGCGCACCAGCTCAGCTCAGCTTCACTCCTTCCACAGAAATTTGCTGTAAAGTACCTGGAGTTGGAGTTTCCAAGCTCTCGGGAGCATACCGCCGCCGCTTGGATCTATGAAACAGTCTATTAATCAATCCATCCACAGCGTCTGACAATCTCACCTCTGCCATCCGGCCTCGTCCTCGACCGCAGATGCCGCGCGCGATCTCCCCATACAAAAACCCTAAAATAAGAGCCCTAATTCTCTGGGAAAGTTTAAAATGCGGGGTAGGAAAGAGTAAAATGTGAAAGAGACGAGAGAGAGATTCCTCCAATCATATTGGCAAGTGATGCATGGAGATATGTTGCAAAGTGATGCTGACTGGGATTCGCGTAAACGTAATTTTACCCGCTGGGGAAGCGAAGGCCTTTGGTAAAGTTACCGGCCAAAATCACTCTTTTGCTTCATCTTCTTTGTCTAGAACTAGGGCAGCCAGGCAGGGCGGACAGACGGGGCGATCGATCGAAGGCGCCGATTCACCGCGCGTCCTCGTAATCACAGGTGCCGCATTTCGATCTCTCCTCGCGCTCGTCCTCGCGATTCTTGCGATAGTCGGCCTCCTCCTTCGCAATCTTTGCCAGTGCCGCATTCTTTCTCCGAAATCCCTCATCGCTCGAGCGCGCTTCACCCGCATGTCGCGATTCCATGGAATTCCTCCTCCGGGCGCCAGAGGATGATCGTTCCATGTCTGGGGTAAGCCAAATCCTTTCCAGGTCGAGGAAGACGAGGGATCCATCCTCGCTCATCCAGTGGTCTTCTTCTCCGCCGCCTCCTCATCCTTGCCACGCCCCATGGTCTCCGCATTGCTTCCACCGCTATGAGCGCCAGCCGCAACCTCTTCCAGCGACGCCGCCAGTTACTGTTTTGTCTCGCTCTTCGTCCCTCCCATCCAGTTTGTTTCACCACCCTTCTTCCGCCAGTACGGGAGCAAAGGCCGATTTCCCTGGAGCTGCCCAACAGCAACACGATAGGAACAACGCTCTGACTGGAACTTCCCAGCGGAACCGGAAGATCCACACTGCCACGGACGAAGAGAACAGTGTCGAGGTGACTATAGTCAAGGCCAACGGTAACACAGAGACGAAGAAGCTCGTAAGTGGCTCAAAGAAGGCGTTTTCTACGTCCACAAGGTATGACAAGGCGATGGGATCTTACAGGAAGCAACAAGTAGCTTGCGGTGCTGCCAACGTCGCGCCTTGCCTCAACAGATCTTTGAGCTCGCCGATCGATGCGAAGAACCGGGCTGCAAAAGCAGAGGTTGAGGACGAGAAGTGGGCTGGTCCGGCCTACTCAAAGTCCCCACCCCCAAGCTCACTGCCATTTCCAAAGTTCTCGGTTCCCGTGCGATCTCTCTCGATGGAGGTGGCCTTCAGCAACAGTGGCGGATCGCCCTCGGAAGATATCGACGTTGCGGGCAGTAACTTGACGTCGCCATCGCCGCAAGCGCCATGCAACTGCTGGGACGCCGCATTTGCCACCAAAGACCTCAAAAGGATCCTCAATCTGGACCAGCAAGTGGCGACTTGATTTGACGCTGCCCCAGCCGCCAACGTAGTCCTCTACGGTACAGAAGGAGCTTTCGGGTTTTTAGCTATAGGTCCATTGACAGGAAACTAGAGCAGCTGATCCATCCATCTACGCAAGAACTCCGCCTCTTCACGTCTCCTTAGTGACTACTCTATCAACACCAGCAGTAACAAAACTCCCAACAAGCGCATCTCATGTCGTGTGGACACAAACAGCGACTTCTCGGACTTCTCGGACGTTGTAAGTTTCTGTGATCTTTTTTCTTTTCGTAGCTGATCTTTCTCACCGCCATTCAAGGCTGTTTGCTTTCCTTTCCTTTCACTCAGGGACACGACCGCGAGCACAAGTTGTTTAGAACCTTCGACGCTCTTCGCCGCTCCTCCCACATGTACGTCTTGTATATATAAATCCAGGTATCTATGACTTTTGCGCTAGTCCTCCGTGTTGGAAGTCAGCAAGAGAGTCCGAGTCGAGTCGTCCGTGATCGTGTCAAGCCTGAGAAGCCTGAAGTTTAACCGAAGGGCTAGCCTGCCTGTTTGCTTGTTTCGCTCACCAGCAGCATGTGGAGGGATAGGTGTTTCACGCGTTTTGTGTGTCTTGGGGTGGAGTACTGTGAGTTTGTTGCGGCAGCTTTAATTATACAGCGATGTTTTTTCATCTTGCTTCGCAAAGAGGGTGATTTCTCTTTTCTTCCTTTACTCCCTGTTCTCCTGATTGCTAGCTATGTCCTGTCTAACTCTTACAGGAAATTCCCCACGCTCTTTCGGCCATCTCTCGACGACGCCCACAGAGAATCATCCGAGATGAAATACTTCGGCGCTAAGCGACACAGCCAAAATGCTCCAAACTAAACACCAGGAATCTGAAGCACTGGGATTTTAAGCAGCAGTCTGGAGGGCCGTGAACAGCAACAGCAGCAGCGATTTGGATAAATGCTCTGCCAAGCTCAACAACAGGAGAAAAGTATTTGGACACACTCGCTTGGATCCAAGCGCTCTTTCGCTCTGGAACACTTACACTACACATAGGACGAGAAAAAAGGAAAAGAAGCAAAAACACACAGACAAAACGGAGGAAGATCCACCGAAAGAATCAACAAGGTGGTGGATTTACTCTAAACGTAAGCTTTCGTTTTTCTTTTTATTTTTCGTTTTCTTCTGATCGCATGTTCTTACATCATGCTTTTTGTCCGTGAAGGAATCGAGCGAGAAAAAACTGGCAGCTCTCACCGAGACCCTTCCGAGGTTGAAGGTACCTACACTACAGTCTCTCGTTTTTCTTTCTTAGAACTCTCTGGTTTTTCTTTTCTTTTTTTGTTTCAGCGACACTCCACTCCCAGATCGAAGCACAGCGCGTCCGACACCTCCTGCGCGCTAAATCCCGCAGCCTTGAGCGAACTTGACAGAAGCATCGAATCCAAAGTCTTGGTGGATCCATTTTGCCGGTGGTGGTGCTGTTCTTCCTCCTTTTTGGAGCTGCTCGTCTTGACGCTGTCCAGCACCGACTTTGGCGACGCCCCCTCCACCATCTCCAGCACCTCCTCCTCGCGCCACCCAGCGCTCCTCAGCCGCGCGGCCACATCCTCGAGCAAGCTCGCCACCAGCTGAGATCCATCGCCATCGCCGTCGCCAGATGATTTCTTCCAGCTGCTGCTCGCTTCCGGCGCGGCAGGAATCGACATGGGTCCCGCGCGATCCCCTGGAAAATCCCACTTCTTCGTGGCGATCGACGTTTTCACCGCTGACCTTGGAGAGGTGATCGCGATCTTCTCGGGAATTGCTGCCGATCGCTTGGCTTCTGTCGCCGAAGAAGAAGAATTCACATCCACAGCTCGATCGATAGCTGCCGAGAAGGACACGGTCCGCCGGTGATGGTGGTGGCCCGAGCTGCTAGACGAAGAGGAGGAGTTGGAAGAAGCGATGGGGGCGAGGCACATCGAAAGCGCGAAGGATTCTTCTTCCTCTTTCGTCGATTGCTTGATCATCCTGTCCGCGACATCGCTCCAGAACTCGATCCTCCTCACGCCGCCGCCGGCCCTGGCAACAGGGGACGAGCACGAAGAGCTCCCGGCGGTCGATGGAGGAGGGTAATGATTCCTGGGCAAAGCTGCCAAATTCCTGGTGATGATCCGATTCAAACGCGCTCCTGGCATCGATTTGCTGCCGCCCAATTCGTAGATTTTGGCCCGCGATGATGATCCATAGCATGCGAAGCTCGTCCTCTGCTGCCCCAAGGAAGGAGAAGGAGAATCTTCTTGGGGAATCTTTTCGGCCCTGTTCTTCTTCTTCCTCGTTCCCAGCGTCGTGGCAAGGGCGTCCAGATTCCTCCCCCAGGACTCGAATTCGCGGCCCTCAATCGCCGCCGCCGCTGCCTCGCGGCACCCAGCCGGAAGAGACTTCGATCGCTCCTCGAGGAAGAGCATCGACCTCATGGGCCAGCGATTCTCCACGAAGCTCGTCGACCACCGCCGCCGATCTGGCTCTTCCTCTTCCTCCTCGAATTCCTCCTCGATCGCGAACGGGAACTCGCCCTCGCCCTCCTCTCGATCATCCGCGCCGCCATTGCGATTCTCGTCGAGACCCAGGAATGCCATGTGCACGAACTCGCCGATTCCACCGCCGCAGCACACGATCGCGCCATTGTGGACGAGAAAGAGGGGATTTCCAGCGCGAGCCGGCGACGCGGGAAGGAAGAAGAGGCCAAAGACGGGCACCATAACCGGGCTCGTTTGAAACCGGTACCGCGCGGTGCGACGCGCGGCATGCGGCAGCGTACCGCGCGGACTACCGCCGCGCCAGAGACCCGATCGCTCCACCCGGTGGCCAATCGCGGCGCCCGGGATACCAATCCAGCGCGCGAGCGTGGCGGGCGACGCCGATCGCCAGTCGGGGAAGCCAGCGCCGGAGGGGACGCCGTGGGCGAGCAGCGCGCGGAGATCCGGAGGGAAGGAGAAGCCTTGCAACGCCTCGATTCGCTCGAATTCGTGGTCGGACAGGCCCGGCGCGAGAGGGATGCCGCTGGCGCGCAGGTGATCGGCGAGCTGCTTCCCGAATTGGGCGATGGAGTCGCAAGAGAGGGATGATCCCGCGGAGGAGGAGGAAGAACAGGAAGAAGAGGCGGAGATCCTCTCGGAGAATGCGTTGGCCCTCTCGGAGAGTCTTCGCAGCCCCGCCCTGTGCGCGCGAGGATTGATCTTGTGCTCTAGATCCGCCATGACGATCCTATAGATAGGTCTCACAGAAGAGAAGAGGGGAGAATTGGGCGATCATGCGCGCGCGCACGAGAGCGTGACAAAAAAAATCGCAAGAATCAACCGACCAGCGATCCTAGAAGCTAGCGATCGCGATCGCTCTGTGGATTTGGAGCCAGGAAGAAAGAATGGAAAGAAACAAAGAAGCCTCCTTTCACGCGCAATCACCATAGCGCATGATGGGAGGACGAAGAGAAAAGAAATGTAACCTATAAGTATTAAAAGGAAGAAAAAGTGAGAGAGAGGAGAATCGAACCCAGTGCGGCTGGCAGAATATTCTCTACTCGCCGCTGCCTACTGTTTCGCTAGATTCCATTGACTTGAGCTTTGTAGTGTTGTTAGATATTGGCCGGCTTCGCAAAATTTTAAGATCAAACCTTGGAATTTTTTTTAGCTGGAAAGACTTAAACAAGACTGGCATTCAAAGTCAACAACGTCCGCCACCTTTGCTTTCCGATTGTACGAAGTATTTTAGTAAGACGGAAGCTCGGCGCCTTTCACGTCCAGCGATTATCTCGCGCTGTCCATGCACTGCTCCATTTTTCTTCTCTTCTTCTCGGGTTCTCGCCGTTGTCTCTTTCAATGCCTGCGAGAAGAATAGCTAGAGTACCAAAAAGGCGAACCAAAGTCATCAAATAGCAGCGCAAATGTACCCAGTACTGCTCGAGATATTTGATACGGCTGTTCCCATCCACGACAAGTTTGCTATAGAGCTTTTCCCTGGCTCACAGATTAAAAATGATGAAGAAACGAAAGAAAACGCTCTTTACGTTGCGTTTTTCACATCTTTCATCAGGTCACCGCAAGAGCCATCCCTGGTGGTGTTTTCGATCTGGCAACGCTTGGCATGGACTCTTTTCTCTGCTTGATTCCAAAGGCCGCCTTGAAATCCAAGAAGAGAGATCACATAAGACTGGATGATAAATGAAACGAGGTTTGCTGTTTATTACCTCTTTGCCTTCTCCAAATTCCAGTAATTCTCCTGCGTGAAGCCGAACGGGGACGTGATGTGGAGCTTTGTAACGACCACCATTAACGCTGCGTAAAAGCTCACAAACTCGGTTAAGAAAACGAGCGAGGACGTGCCTACTTACTTTGTGATCCAGGTGCCTTTACCGCTGCCAAAGTCCGTGAGGAAAACCGCCCCATTTACGAACGTTATCTCGGCGTGCTTATCCGCAACCTGTATTCGAGATTCTCTGGAAGAACTAAAACAATTGCAAAGTACCTGAGAGCTATCTATCACGAAAACATTTCCTTCCTTGTTGGCTGGCATTCTCCTGCTAAAATATAAGCCGGACTGAGTCAGAGAGAAGAGGCTCCAAGAGAATGTAAGAAGTAATTACCCAATGATGTTCGAAAGTCCCTGCTCAAGTCTGAAGAGCTTCTTCCCCGATGCCGTTATGTCTCCTTGAAATGGCATTTGCTCACCATCAGGTACGAGGTACCACCTGTATATTAATGCTTTACTCCGTAAGAAACAAAAATTGGCCATGCTCACTCTGCTGAAGTAGCACGCTCTAGAGCATCGTCATTCCTGAGCCATTCCGGGAGTTTATCGCTAGCCTGTAGAAGAAATGTAACAAAATCAATAGAAAACCAACGAGAAAACAGACAAACCAACCTTGTCAGTTAATCTACATGAGGGCGTTCGGCCTTCCAAAGCAGCACTGCGACAGCACAGTTTATAACTATCTTATGCAACGAAAGACACAGCAAGATAAAAAAAACCTGTTGCCGCCAAGCACCCAGCTAAGCATCATCGGCATTGCTATATTGACAAAAAATCTTCCGAAAACCCTGCCTGGATGTGGAATCCTAAGTTTCTTTATGAACTGCCAAAGGAGAAGAGCTGGTTGTTAAGTCCGCATTGTCAGCCGGGAAAATCACAAACGCTATACCGATAAAGGCCCGAGTCCTACGCCAAGATATGGCTTGTATGTAGTAGCCATTACTGCAGCCATTCGTGCCATCCCATGTATGGCACCCACTCGCAGCCTCCTTTGGCTCTCATAACTGCGGAAAAAAAAAGGAAGAACAGGAAAAGCATCAGCCACTGGGAATGGGAGTTCCCCAACTTTCACCTTTGCAGAACTCGTGAAAAGTCGACGAATTTATTCTCGTTGGCACTCTCCTTGAATGCCTTGATTATCTCCAACGCAAGTTGGTATCCATCCTGCAAGTTTACAATGCGTTCGTGAAGCAAATGAAGGAAACTTTTCCAAAGTTACCTCAATCGCCATGCAACCTCCTTGGCCCATGTTTGGTTGCATGGCATGGGCGGCGTCTCCAAGTAAAGTAACACGGCCTTTGCTCCAGTTGAGTATGGGAACGCGATCATAAATATCCCGGCGCAAAATTTGCTCCTCCGGAGTAGCGAGCAGCAGGTCCACAACTCCGTCGCACCAGTCGCCGAAAAGTTTGAGCAGCCTTTCCTTCCGTTCTACAGTCCATAGCGGCTGTTAGTTGATCGCCGCCATAGCTTTTTGCATACAACTCACTTCCGGGAGGGTCAGTGCCACCCGCTGGCTCCTTAAAAAATCCATACCATTGCATTTTTCCATATCCCACGTCCGACGAAACAAAGTATTGCCTGTGTCCTAGAAAAACGCGGTATCTACAAAGAAAAAGAAAATGAGAGATCGACCAGTTAGAAGAAATCCTGCGAAGCATTCCTATGAAACGAAACTTACCCGACGGTGTCGATGTCTGGAGGAATAAAATCCGCAATTCCTGTGTAGCAAGTGTATCCAGAGTACGTTGGCTCCTGAAAGCCGAGAAGCTGTTCGCGAACCTGGAACCTCAACAACAATAAAGCACCAGTGAAAGCAACGCACTTTCCTTCTTACCTTTGATCTTATTCCATCTGCACCTATCAAAACGTCTCCTTCGTAGTATCGCCCGTCTTCCAACTTCACTGTCACCTGCGGAAATCAGATCCTAGTCTTGAGATCAAGAATATCTTCTCTCGTGGACAAGAAGCGAATACCTTTGATCCGTCGTCTTTGAACTCCACAACGTTTGCATTGTTCTCAATCAGCTCGGGACCGACAGCTCGAGCTAAGATTTCTTGAAGCTTCATTCTACTGATGACACGAGTAACGGGCAGACCGTTCTCCGCGGCCGGCGTAAAAGTATCAAACTTGGAATACCTGTGCATGGAAAGAAATCACGTTCAAGACAAAGGAAAAAACTTTAAAAACATACCAAGTTCCTGTAAGTCCATCGACAAGCCCATTAACTCTGTCTCCAGTAATACAGCCATTCTCCATTATCTCGTCCGCGACAGCAGAATCGACAGCCTCGAGCGCGGCCAGAGCGTTGCTTTGGATTTGAATGGGCCCTCTGTATTGACCTTCACCTCGGATGGCACTGAGGTCTCTCTCGAAAACTTTCACATCCAGGCCTTGGTTTTTAGACGCCAAGGCGAGGACCAGGCCTCCAATTCCACCTCCTGCTATGAGAAGTGTCGGAACCTGCTGTTGGCTTTGAGGAAAATTCTCCTCCTTTTCCTCCACCGGAAACTTCTCCTCCGGTTTGGCTGTAGAGACAACGCCCGCATCGTTTCGAGTGACAACATTCGTCTCCACCGCAAGTCTCTTGTGAAGTGAGCTCCTGGATTTGTCTGCCTGGATGGATAAAGAGGACACTCCCTTGTGGCACAGTACGCAGTCCAGAGCCTGGCCTGTAAAGCTCACCGAGGAAGGCCGTGGAACGGCCACGAAGCTCATCTCGCCAAGCGTCGAGAAATGCGAAGAAGCTCTTCCCCGAAAATCGACCCGAGAATAGAGGGCTTGCGAGATATATAAGCCAGCTTACTCCGCAGCTCCTGATATTTCCAAATGGCACTCGAGCTCACCACAGAATCATGGCGAGGTTGTCTAGAATTTTGGATTAAACATCTGCACCACAAGTTTCAGTGGAGCACAAATCCAGGAGCCATCCTATCTCCAGGGCACTCACATCAACATAAGCTAATCTAGACTACACCATAACCTCCAAACAAGAACTTGGTGAAGAAAATGAAAGGGTCAAAGCATCACAAAGCTGGGCCGAAGCAACAATTTCAAGCACTAATCCGGGGAAAAGATAAAGAAGCAAGCAATGGAGCAAAAGAATCTTGCAATGGAGCAAAAGAATCTTACAGCGCATCAAACAGTGCTCCAGTGGAGGACATTGCGCCACTGCCCGCCTCCTCCACAGCCAACCCTAAACCCTTCGCAAAAATACGCGAGCGTGGGGAATGTATTGAACGATACAAATATAAAATGTAGATAGCCTGAAAGAACTATGGATTGACAAGGTTATGTTCCAAAAACTTTCAATCGTGATTACATTTCTGCCGGAAGATGGCATGGTCTCTCCTTCGATTACCTTTCCTTGTCCAAAGGTCGGATTTTTCCTCGTGATCTTGGAAGAAAAACAGTCTACAAACAAATCTGCAATAACTGGACCGGTCAGGAACCCAACTCCACAATGCGTGGGCCTCATGGATCAATTCCATTTTGCCAAACATCACACAGATGGTCTAAAAGCTAGAAACTCTGTTCTTCTTTAAAAAATTTCTCTTGTAAACCATAGGCAGATATGTGGGATTATTCATCCTCTAACATTGCCAACTCGACTTCTGCTCTTTGGTTATCAAGTTGACGCCACCATCCGATCTTGTGCGGCCAAGCGTCAACAACGCTACTCACAAATTCATCGGAAAGCATAGCTACATCTCCTCATTCCTTCTTTTTCGTTTTTTTTAAACAATGGTCGGATATAAATCTGTGTCATGGCACTGCTAACGAAGGAACGAACGCAAAGGTTATGTCGCTTACTTCCTCCATAAAAATCATTTTCTCGCCAATTAGACCCCAGTAATAAATCATATATCCGTCATCCCCCAAGCAGATATTCAATCTGCTCCTTGAGCGTCTCCTCACTCGCAATGCAAACCTGCCTTCAAGCCTGTCTTCAAGCCCGTCTTTCCTCGACCCAATAAAGGATAGCTTCCTTCGCTTTGCACGACGAGGACAAGCTTCCCAATCCTTCGACTTTGAATGATAATCCAGGCCGAACCCCTCAAATTCCAACATCACATGGTAATGCCCCGATCTCTTGACCCTAATAAAGTATCTGCGCGGCTTCTCCTTGACATGAATCCGGGGAAGAAATCTCCACGCATTCGTCAGTGGATTTCCAACAGCTAAAGTCATGGCCTCGCCGCCAGCCTCGTCCAGATCCTCCAGCCTCCCACACACAAGCCCCAGCGCGCACGCCAGGAGAATAAACCTGTGTCCCGGCGGACCGACGGAGAAGGAGCCATGATCAAGCTCACCCCAGCCCTGATTGGTGAAAAGAGCTTCCAGTGAAGGATACAAGAGCAAGCGGTGGCCACGCTGTAGCACAAACCACGGCTCTGGATCTGGATCTGGATCTCCAGCGGTCCTGCGAGCCACAAGCTCCCTGAGCTCCTGCGAGCGTGCAAGGCGACGCCATTGCTTGCAGACGCGCCCGGCTTTAAGGATTATATCTGCTGGCTTGAGGCGAGACAAGATGTCGAGCACTAGATCATCGCCCAGAGCATCAAACTCTCCCATGCTGCTGTCGTATCCCTTCATTTACAGAGAGCGATGGTTATAAAACCGCGGAAAAAGGTAAACCCACCTGAAGCGTCCTATTCCAATAGAACCCTACATTTTCGGTGAGGGCAATTAGAGTCTATTCCAATAATAACTTCATTGATAAAGAGAAAAAAACATAGTGATCATAACCTAAACCAAAATAATTTTCTTAAAATTCTAAAACTTAAACCACTATTAAATATGAATTGCAAAATTGCCTGATATAAAAGTTTATTAAACAAAACAGAAGATATACACTTTAATACAATCAACTACTAATTACAACAAACATTATAGCCCAGCTAAGCTAACTCTCAAACAAAAATAATAAATTGGTTGGTATGAGTTCAAAGTGTATTTATACAACCATTCTAGATCAAGGTTTCAATTATAAAAATAAAATGTAAAACAAATCATGTAAGACAAAAACTTTTTTCACAGAAAATTTATTAATTATACTATTAGTGTATAAAATATAATTAAATGTTTTTAACAATATTATAAAAGAAGTTTGACAGTTAGTTAAGATTTATAAATTCTTATTAAGAGATTTTATAATTGAGAACTATGTAGTCCTGCCATATACTAGCATAGAGGGATTTTCACAATTTCACTTGTTCCAAGCTAAAGTCATGGTTTCCAAAGCATTGTGTGTGGATAAAATCACATGTTCACGACCAAAAAGCACAACACAATGGTATATGCCATGTTAACTTGGTCAATATTCTGACAGTGAAAGAATATTTTAATTTTTGGTTGTTGACTGATAATTGACCACAGTGGTGAGGCCTATTTCATACCTTGAGTCTATCAATCTCACAAGGGGAGCTTAGCCAGCAATCTGAAGTTCAAGCAGCATCTCCAACATGTGCTCATTAGGGAGTGCATCTGCTATCACCTATTTAAGGTTTAGGGTTTTTGTGTGTTTATCAGTATTGCAATCTTCATACTTCGTGTGCTGTTGTCGTGTTGGTGTGGATGAGATTGAGTAAATGTAGTTCATATATACATTCTCAATGTCCTTAAAGACTAATACAAAAAGGATCACAATAGCAATTTGAATGGGAGCTCAACTAGGGTTTGATCTCTCACCTGTAATTATTGTTTTGCAACCTCGCTTGTTTCACCAAAGTGATCGTCTTGTTCTTGACAACCTCCTCAAAAGCAGCTTTTCATTTTCCCCTGGTAGAAGACTCTTCAGTGTCAATGAATTTCCACTCTAGCAAGTGGAGTCTGGACAAGACTCTCAAGTATGCTGTGAGAAAAGTCTGGATCTGTCCTTGTGCTTGCCCTTGGTGGAAGGAGTAGTTGCATTCTACTCAGGCAAGTCTGAAAATGACCTTGACAATGTTTTTCACTTGGCACAACATATGAGACATTGTTTTTTCCACTTCTTACTGCAGATCCTTCAAGTCCACTTCTTGTGGGAGCAGGTCATTCAGGTGTAGTGCTGACTTGAATCAAGCACAATAGACTGGATTTAGCAAGGCTGGAGGCCCGAGCAAAGCAAGAGCTGACAGTGGTACAATAGGCTATTGCTGGAAGACTGGAACAAGGTGGCAGCCTTGACAAAGGAGTAGTGGAATTGGACGAGGATATCATGAAGTTTCATTGAAGTGGACATCTCATGAGATGAGCAGCTTCCTGGCATTGGCTCTAGAGTGAAAAGCAGCTTTTCAGAACGGAGTTCTTTAAAATACTAAATAGTTTATAAAAACCACTAAGAGAGATTTTTATTCAGTGAGAATCCTTACAAATCTTGACACTCTCAATCAACCATCGCTCAACAAACATGCAAATGTTTGTACTATCAATAACCCCGAGTAACGCTGGAACATCTCCTGGAACACAGTCTTGTTGACAATGTGCAGTGTTCAACTTCCTCAACTTTGCTGGATGTTGCTTAGCCTTTGGCTGGAACTTCGTCAAATCTACAAAATCCGTTGTGACCACAAGTTTTAGGCACCCAAATCTTGCGAGTTCCCTCACTCGCTTCGCACCTTCGTCGTCCTCTTCCCTCGTCACAGCCTTTTTACCACCCTTCTTGTGCAAGAATAACTTGTTACTATCCAACGAAGAGATAGCCTTCTGATAGTCACCCCTTGCCATTTTCTGGAGAGTCTTCATTTGAGCTGCACATATGATGAAAGTTGTCACTGACTGACGATCGTCTGCCTGCTCCCCACTACTTGGTTCTCCAGCGCATTGAAGCTTGTCTCCCTGCTCAGGTTGTGCATATTGCGTAACTGTCAAAAACCACCATATGTCCGGGCCGCAAGTCTTATTCCTGCCCGTCGAAAAGAAAGTAAAGAAGTTGTCTTGACCACTAGTCACGCTGTTTATCCAATCGATTAAACGGAAGTCCTCCGTCTCGGTCCCAACGAGGTTCAGGTGATCAACCTTAGGCCTGACAAGAGTTGCAGTGTTGTTGTAGATAGCAGGAATCGGCTGTGTGTTCCACGATGAGAAAAGATCAGCCAGACACTTCCCGTCTAAATGCTTCCCAATCATCTCTGCAACGGCAGTTTCATAAACCTCCCCAGTGGCACTGGCACTTAATTCGGCCTTCTCCAGAAAATGATGCTGTTGGATATGTTGCAAGGAGGAATTCTCCTGAAAATAGTGCCACAAGGCACGACAAACCAGTGGCTCGAAGATCTCTACAGCTTGGCATCCTTCGCTTGCATCAGCATGCCCAATAATTCCGTCGTGACCTTGATACACCCACTGCATCAGCCCGTGCCCTTCATAACTAAGTCTCCCAAGTCCAAACTCCACCAGTGATAACGTTGGATTCAGCACGACCACCTTTCCTGTACCAAAGAAGTGGTTCGCAACAACTGATTGAACTAAAGCTTTCGCTGCCGCCAATTCATCGCTCGGGACTCGTGAAAAAAATCGGTAGACATCATCGAGCACAGTCCTGTTCACTGTGTCCATAATATCTCCACGTATCTCCTGGCTTGCTGATGCACCCCTGTGGCATTCCAATCATCAGTCGAGAAGCTCTGCCGCTTGGTGAAATTTCACGTACCTCATGGATGTTGTCTTTTTGGCATAATCCAAGAAAAACCCTGTAGCTGCGTCTGCAGGCGGGTTAGAAAGGATATAGAGCTCAAGAGCAGTAACAAACGCCCGATATCTTCCTCTGTACAGCACCCCGAGCCTCTCAAAGTCTATGACGCTGCAATCCTCCAGCACATTGCTAGCATATTGCCTCAGGGACTCACCATCCCGAAACTCGCCAAAGGATGTATACCAGTAGATGCTCGCACGGTGTTTCAGAGTCTATGGACGCAAACATTAGCCATGATTCATGAAACGCAGGAACACATACAATATACCTCGGAGACGTGAGTGGCCACATGAAATAGCGATCTCCCGGTCCCAGCAAAGATTACTGTGTTTTTGAACCCAGCATCCTGTAGAGCGATAACAAACGTATCAAGCATTGATCGTCTAAGGCTGCCCGTCTCCCCATCCCCTGTCATGAACCTGTCTTTCAGATATGTGTTCACCTCTTGGCACTCGTCCAAAATAATCGGCCAGTCCCAGGTGTACGCATACAGCATCTCGCTCAACACAGACTCCAATGCAGGAAGATCATGTGCTGACTCCGCCAACGTCAAGATGCACCCGGTTAAATAGGCCCAAGGGTCAGCCTGAATATAGTTGAGCTGCCGGTGCATAACCTGCTTGAAAAGAAACGTCAAATTGCTGAGTGGCTTGAGGAGGTCGTCAAATTTGCAGTGAATGAAAAGCCTTGATAGGATCACCGCCCTCAAACAGGTCTTGAGGGATGAAACGGGAATCGGGCCTGTTGGATACAGCCTCTGCAGTGTCTCGGACACAACCAACAGGTCCCGGGAGCCATCAGCAGTAGGAGAACCGGAACACACGCCCGAGAAGTAAAGACAGGTCTGCTGCACCGCAATCTCGTATAAGCAACGTGTCTTTCCGGATCCAGAGATGCCGAATAGAATCAAAAGACTGGGCTTGGATCTTTTAATCAATGAAAGAATCCTTCCAGAACCAAGAGGCTGCTCCAGATCATGCCACAAAAGACTCGGTTGCCAACCTCCCGAAACCGGTATCTGGCAAATTGGAACCTTGGTGAGCGGGAACTTTCTTTTGAACGCGTGCTCTGGGGTCATGCTGGAAATAGTGCCCGAGAGTTGATCCCCAAACTTCTGTAGTATAGCTTCCACAACCCCTGCAAAACAAACACTATTGATAAAGGACGAGCAGGCGTTCAGTACCTTTGGTAATGGGCTCTCTTCTCGCCGCTGCAAAATTACAAAAAAATCGTGTTTAGAAGGAACGACAAACGATGCAGCCAGACAAAAGATCAAGCGATAGCATCTTACCTGTGCGTTAGAAGGCATGGATAAAAGGCATCAGATTTCATAAGCCAAGATCCCAAAGAGCCAGGCAAGATACTCTATAGATTGTTGAGGCAAATACGCAGCGACAATCTCCAAAAGAAACCGAAGGCATACACACAGCCAAAGGGCAACACTCCATAGCCGACATGGATCAAAGAGAAAACAAGGGGCATAGGAAAGGAACAGAACACAACAGTCATAGCCATACAAACAAAGGCGAAGCGAGAGACGACATACCTGGCACTTTGAGGTGCGGCTCAAGCTTCTTAGCAGCAAAGACAGGCACCCTTAGCTGGATCACTTCGTCGTATGTGAGATTTTTCAACTCCCCCACAAACTCGTAGCCCTCTGATTCCAGGCTTTGCACAGCTCGATCAATCACGGCCGGTTTCCCGACTACTTGGGATTCAAGAAACGACCGCACCGTAGTGCCTCGATCAGGCATGTCGGCATCGAACTCCATGAAACCCTAGGACTTGGCACTCCGCAGCATGCAATATTGAGAATCCCGACCATGATCCTTAATTGCCTTTTTCATAATTCCTGACTGACAGAGAATATTCGGAAATATTTTGTTCAAACTGTTGATTTTGAGTTGACCCTTCATTGACTGGGAGGATTGATAGATAGGTAAATTGGCTTATGTCTTGAGCTTAGATCTTTTTTAAGACGGCACGATTGCGAGAAATCGCAAAACACAGTCATCAAGAACTCGCGCATTTTGATCGTTATAATCCTAACAAACTTGTTCAATCCAATGAAGAAATGCAGCTGACAAGGATCTCCGCACACTGCTCCAGCTCCGCTTCCGAGATTACCAACGGCGGCGCCAGCCTCACCACGTCCCCGGCCCCCGCCGTCAAGACGATCAGCCCTTTGCTGCGAGCCGCCGCCACCAGCGGCGCCGCCGATACGTCCAGCTGAATCCCAACCAGCAGCCCGGCACCACGAACTTCCTTTACGTGCGGAAACGGTGCCAGCATTCGCTTCAGGAGGTCTCGCAGATGGTTGCCTTTGTTCGCGACGCTGTCCAGGAACCCGGGCTCTTGCAGCCGATCTAGAACTGCCAGAGCCGCGCTGCACACCAGAGGACTCCCCGCAAAAGTGCTGCCGTGATCGCCTGGAACGATGGCGTCCGCTACTGCCTGAGTCACGAGCACCGCTCCGATCGGTAATCCCCCAGCTAGCGGCTTGGCCAGAGTCATGATATCCGGCTCTATGCCGTATGCTTCGTGCGCCCAGAGCTTTCCGGTTCGGCCTAGACCGCACTGGACCTGGAAGTTTTTGGAAAGTTGGCGAAAGAAAAAAAGAGTGCTGAAACTTACCTCGTCAAACACTAGGAGAGTTCCAGTGCTGGAGCAAAGCGCTCGAAGGCCTTCGAGAAAATGGCCAATGGCTGGATAGACACCACCTTCGCCCTGGACCGGCTCTACGAAAACCGCCGCGGTTCTTTGCTGCTGGACGATCTTCTTGGCGGCTTCCAAGTTGCCGAATTCCACAAACTTGACCCCGGGCATGATCGGCTCGAACGGAGCGCGGTATTTCTCCTTGCTCGTCAGGGCCAGCGCTCCCAGAGTTCTCCCGTGGAAGCTGTTCGAGAAGGCAACGAAGTCCGTCGGGATGGGATCCTCCACGAGAGGAGACGATGCCTGCTTGTCGCTCTTCTCTTTCGCTTTCACCCTCTGGTACTTTCTTGCAAACTTGATCGCGGCCTCGTTGGCCTCGGTGCCAGAGTTGGAGAAGAAGACGCGATCCGCGAAGGAGGATTGGACCAATCTCTCTGCGAGTCTCACCTGGAAGAACCATGAACGAAGTTTTAGAAGAACTTCTCTTGGATCTCTCCCATCCAAACACATCGAGAGAAAAAAAAAAAGAGAGAGAGAAAGAATTCCATACCTGAGGCAAGGAGTGATAGACATTGCTGACATGCGCAAGCGTGGTAGCCTGCTCCAAGATGGCTTTCACCCACAGTGGATCGCCATGCCCCAGGGAATTCACAGCGATCCCAGCCGCCATGTCCAAGTACTCCTTCCCATCGATGTCGTAGAGCTTGCATCCATGCCCCCTCACAAATGCGACTGGGACTCGATCATAGGTGTGGACGAACAGCCTCGCCTCGGCATCGATCACGTCCTGGCTACACTCGAGCGGGGCTCGCTGCTGCTGCTCCTGCGTGTCAGTGGCCGCATTTTGGCGCACATCCACCGCCAGCGCTTTCTTGGGAAATCTAGGTGCGAGCTTGCAGCGAGCTCCAAATGCCGGCCGCGAGAATGCCACACCCTGATGCTGATGCTGCTGCTGGAAGGAATCGATGTAGCAGCCATTGAGGCGGCTCTGACCGCATGCCATAGCCTGAGAACCCTAAAAACACTACTTCCACTGGCGCAGTTTCCACGTGCGCCATTTCCCCTCCTACATTATAAACGTTTTAGGGTTCTTCCTCCTGTTCTTCTTCCTTGGCGGCATTCTTTCTCTTTTCTTCCTCAAATGGGAGCTCCACAGCCAAGAGGCTCTTGATATCTTCCTGATGTCAAAGAAAATTGATGAAGAAATGCTAGAATGGGAAGAGCCAACCTCCAATTTGTATGGTGGTATGTGAGGGGCGTATCTCCCAGCAATTCCACCAGTTCGATTGATCAAAAACTTTGTGAAATTCCAGCGAATTCGATCGCCATCGCTCTTGTCCTTGAGGTACCTGAAGAGAACTGCGGTGTTTGGGCCATTTACATCCACCTGTGGATCAAACATCGTCAAAATTCTCGATCAAGTGTTCGAATTGGATCCAATTCTCAGTGAGAAATCTCTCGTACCCTTTCAAAGAGTGGGAAGTGTGGCCCAAATCGAGAAGAGACTGTCTCTTGAAGATATTCCGTCCTGAGTGGCTCTTGCGCAGCGAATTGGTTGCACGGGAATGCCAAAATCTCTAGCCCTGGCGAATCACGACTGCAATCGAAGCTATAGTTTGGAGGATCCCAGAGAAAGAAACACAAGATCAAAAGAACCTTCGTCCACGTATTTTACGTGGAGCTCGTTGAGCTCCTTGTACATGCTTGAAGCACACGCCCTGGATGGATCATATGAGAAATGGAGAATGCAATCAATCGAGAACAGGAGATACACACGATTTTGTGGCGACATTGACGATCAAAAGAACCTTGTCTCTGTATTTACTCATGGAAACTTTTTGGCCGTGTTTGTCCTGTGATCACCAATCGATCTATGAAAACAAACGCGAGTTGGATGGAGGAAGCATACCCTAACATCGATCTCATAGATGCTGGCGAAAGTATAGGCCGGCTCCCTCATGTTCACGATCTCTTCGTCGCCCGCCATAGCTGTCCTCAAAATCGCGTTGCCCTAACCAGAACTTTGTAAAATCGAATATCCTTTTCTAATATGAAAAATATACTTTTCCAAGGTGTTAATGATTAATCCGTTGTAATCCCGGCACCGGAAGTTATTTTGCAAACTGTTTTATTTACGGGTTTGTACGAAGTTTCATCGCTATGATCCTCCCTCCATTGCTGTGAAGATATCAGTTCTCGTGACAATGCCTGGAAATTTCAAGAGTTTAGCGAGATCGCGACGGGAGAATACATTACCAATGACTTGGCCCGAGTTGTTTACAACAGGAATCCGATGAAATTTGTTCTTGAGCATGAACACGGCAGCATCTGTGCTTTCGGTGTTAGTCGCAGATTAAACTCTTTCTTCCTAGACTGACCGGACACAGTTTTGTCAGCAGATAAGGTGATCGCGGGCGAGCTCATCACTTCCCGAATAGGCGTCTTGAGCTGGAACGACCAGAAACGATTAAAAGAGAACCTTGTCAAATCTACAATGCAATCGTGGTACGTACCCCTTTAGAGCCTTTGGTTCTATCCTTCTTGGACAGAACACCAACGCAGTGAAAATCCTTGTCCACCACCGGAAGCCCGGAGATATGCGAGAAGTGGTGATCGACCTCCTCCAGCAGCGCGTCCGGAGAAGCTGTGATCAGCTCCCTAGACATGACATCCGCGAGAAACGTAGATGGCTGAGCCTGGAAGAGAAAGGAATTTGTCTACCCAGCAAACAAGGAGCAATGCAAGAAAACACACAAACCTCGGCTTTAAACAGCGATGGCTCCAAGTGCACGGTGAGATCCTCGAAGTTGAGCATGGAGAAATTCTCGGGCCACTCGCCAGACGGGAGGATCGTTTCCTTCTGCTCCACTTCCACACTCTCCCCTCCCCCTCCCGTCGCTCTCAGCACCAGCATTTCCGGGCTCCGCCGCCGCCGCCGCTGCTGCTGCTGCTGCTGGAAATCGCACCTGATGCTCGATCTCTCGCTTAGAGCCGGGAGCGACGGGAGCAGCGAGATCCTCCCCGCCAGAGCCGATGACGTCGCAGCAGCAAGCGCCATGGATCGATCGATCGCGAGTTCCAAAAACCCTACCAAAATACCCAAATTAGGTCAAGCGGGATCGCATTCATTCCACCTGACACGAGGTTCTTCCAGCTGTTGGAACGAGAAGCTCTTATAGATTATCAAAAGTGAAGATTCAAATTTGAACTTAATAAATTTTATCTCTCCTTGGGTAACCAAGCGGAAGAGCCCACGAGATAATGTTCTTGGGGCATTCGAAGATGACGGCTCGGCGTTGACTTTATGTTTGACCGTCTCTGACCGGTCAAACTCGTTGACGTTATTTGTCTGCAGCAGCATTTCCATCGGAAGTCTATCTCCGCCAAAGAGTTTCCGAGGGTATCTCCTGGTGGACGACTCGGAATACCCGAGGATCAAAGTCGGGGTCAACTGGAAAGAGCCCATGAGAAAATGTTCTTGGGGCATTCAAAGATGAGCTCCACCTTTGAACCTGTACCAAAGCAGCTGATAGGGACGTCGTCACCAAGGTGGTGCCAGATGCCACATCGCAGTATTTGATGGGCAACGACTTGGTCTTGTGCAGCCTGGCCGGAAACTCACCCATGATTAGCACTTGTAAGAATGCATGATAGTTGGACCACAGGTTATTGGTGATGGGGACGCTCGGGACGATGCCGACCGGGCCGCTGCTTAGGGATGACGATGTCAGGTCACTGCTGGGCTGGGACGACACTGGATCCACGCCGTTGATGCACTGAGTAAGCCTTGGAAGATCGAGGTTGGGTGCCTCCCACATTTTCCACGTCGACTTGGGAGCCAAGTCACTAGCCACCCATCCGTCATAATCCGGTTGTGCATCTGAGACTGGACACACTGGCCATGAACGTCGAGTAGACGGACTGGGACGGGGAAGGAGGAGGAAGACAATCGTCGACTGGTGACATTTCGTTCTTGCACGAGCGGGGACTAGTCAAGGAAGCACTGTCGTGAAGCGCTTGGAGATCAGCCTCAACTAGAGCAGATGATGGTGATGGCGATGGCGATGGCGGGACGCCGTCGATGTCAGGAGATGTGCTAGTTGAAGCATCCAAGCCTTGGACCTGAGCAGACAACGATTACCCGTGTCACTTGAAAGCAGCGGAGTCTTAAGAACAAGTTACGAACTTCACTGATACTCTGGTGGTGCTTGGTCATCCTTCCTTTACCCCACGCCCAAGAGATCCGGTTCCACGCAGATGGCTTACGCGCCACTCCTTCATTTGCGTTCGCTTTGCTTGACGAGGTGGTACCAGCTATTGCCGTCGCGGACACAACATGCTTGTCCTGCTTTTTCAACACCGACGCCTTGACTTTCATCAACTGCTTTTCGTGACCGGGCTTTCTCCTGTTTCGGGCGTTGGGCCTGCTCGTCACTACTCCCGCCTTAGACAGCCATCTTGTTGTCGTTCTGAGCATCGGCCCTCTGCCTTCTGCGCTCGTCTACAAGCCTGGCTACTTCCTCCCGTTGCATTCTCTCCTCGGCCTCCATCTGTTCCTTCTCTAGCCTAGCCAGCCGCTTCTCTTCCGCCTTGCGCCTCACCCTGTCAACTTTGCTGTCCTGGCCACTCCCATCGTCGCCTTTTCGGTGCCCGGCTTTCCTGTCCGTCCGGGAGCTGTCCGTGTCGGACATAATCCCCCCACTCCACAGCCTGGAGAGCCCCTACCACAGGCAGTAACGAAGGAGACGAGGCGGAAGACGATGAGCAGCCCCGAGGTCTGCGCGCCGATGACACACTTGTCGCTGGCGGACATCCACACGCCGGGCCACACGTCCTGGCTCCAGCTCCGCCTCCCTTGGATCCTCAACTCCTTCCTGCCGCTGCCAATGTAGCGGTAGATATCAAATGATTTTCCTAGGAGATCATTTGAACCCGTGATGTGGAGGAGGTCATTCCAACTAGATTTATGCTCATCTACAGATATAGCAACACCAGAGTGGTCTTTTTGGACCGTGATGTAGAAGAGATCATTCCAACTGAATCTTGTAAATTTCAAAAACGTTCATCTATTTGCACAGGAAGCAGTTCAGTCCAGCAACTTGGGTACAGGATGACGTTGTCCAAAACTTTGTAAAAGAATGAAACCTCCAAAATGATGACTTGAAAGTGCTTGCAAAGTAGGAAATGGACCCCCTTGCAGGCAAAACTGGCATACCTTTCAAGTTGCAGTTTTTCTGATATTGAGACTAGTCATGTATCACAGTTACTTCATTACCACTTTTGTACTCCAAAGATTTCACTAATAAGGAGCTTTCCTCTACTAGCTCAAGTTGAAGTTTCTCAATTCATCGGTTCAACCTAAAGTAATCAGCTAAAGTTTTGAGATAAGCGAAGATCATGCATTTTCGAGGAAGTTCAGGAACGAATTTTCAGGCGAAAATGCATCAGTTTTTCTGATATTGAGACTAGTCATGCATCACAGTTACTTCATTACCACTTTTGGACTCCAACGATTTCACTAATAAGGAGCTTTCCTCTACTAGCTCAAGTTGAAGTTTCTCAATCCATCGGTTCAACCTAAAGTCTTTCAATCATAATCAGCTAAAGTTTTGAGATAAGCGAAGATCATGCATTTTCAAGGACTCTAGATCGCGTGACCGCTCAACTGAGAAGAAGAGGAAGGCTCCTTACTAGTGAAATCGTTGGAGTCCAAAAGTGGTAATGAAGTCACTGTGATGCATGACTAGTCTCAATATCACGTAAAGCTCTCGCTTTTTAAACACTTGCAACGCCAACCTTGAAATGATTTTCCTATCCAGAGCTATGGTGGTTTCTGTGCCGTTACTTATCTAAGCATGGCACCATCCGGCCTGGAGCAAGTGCTACTCACGGGCGGTCTTCCTCCTATTGACGCTGGATGCACTGCCGAGGCCGTGTATCGTGCTTGCTACAAGCGTGTCCTGCTCCAAAACATGAAGTTTTACCAGCGTTTCCCTCGGGATGAAGAGCTCGTCCGGGAGATTGTTTTACACTTGGGCAGTAACGAAGGTGGAGGGGTGAGTCAATCTTTTCTTGCCATTTATATTTATATAAAGTGTGTGATAGGTGCTTCTTCCATCTG